AAGGAAGGAAGGAAGGAAGGAAGGAAGGAAGGAAGGAAGGAAGGAAGGAAGAAAATCAATGCTTATTCCTTGAGTAGGAGCTCTGTTCTATGAAGGCATCAGTATTGCATCTAGATAATTGAGTTTCCTCCCCTCAGGGGCCACCAAGGTTTACAGCCAGCCTGGACAAGGATAAGAAGCACATGTGTTCTACAGCATGGCACAGAGGATTCTTTCAAACTACAGGTTGGGAAGGGGGCTAAATTCCTGGGCAGTACCTGTTCTGTACTTGAGGTTTATTGGATGAGGCCAGTTACATGCCGAATATCCACCCCTACTGGCATATTTCTTTAAATCAGAAAGGTGTGCTGTTCTCCATTTCTCTACACCCTAATCACAGGACCCAGCATGCCTGGGGCTGCAGAATTCCAGGATATGAGCAGCATCAACCAACCAACTCTCTGTGGCTCACAATTGATCCTGTGCCTATAATCACCAGCATCACAGAATGAGTGCAATCACATCATGACCTGCATTTCACAAACAATGGTAGCACACTGAGCTGCCAGTCTCACTCAGGGGAGCAGTTCTCTCGTCGCCCTTCAGTTTTGTTAGAGGAAGCTCTGTTCTCTGTTCTCTGTTCTCTGTTCTCACAGAAGCCCAGACAGATCAAAGCGGGAAAGTCCTTTAAAGGTAACCTGTCACTGTTCTGATCTGTCCTGGGTGGTGACCTATGTGAGACTTTGGTGTGGGATCCCCCATCCCTGTCAGAATGTCACACAAGCCCTGCCAATGACATTGATCCCAGCACTCACCTCAAAAGTTGTCCATTGCAGAGCTGGAGAGAAAGCCAGGCAGTTCAAAATGGCTTTAGTGCAGGATTCCATGTGTCTTCAGAAAACTTATTTTCTGAAGATTATCAGGAAACGTATGCAGCGAAAGCTGGGGTGAATGTCACCCTGTCTGCTGGTGGAACTGAAGCGAAGAACATTGCACGAAACACCCAAATGCTGAGTTCTTACCACAGCTGAAGCCAAAGATAACACTGGAATCGGCCATGGTAACGGTAAGTTTGGCTCTACAGTGAGGAACTGTGGGCCTCTTGTGGCTGAGGATGTGTCTCAGAAGGTAACATGCTTGCTGCACAAGGAGAGGACCTATTTGGAGCCCCACTCCATGTAAAAGGGTGAGGGTTTGTGCTGTGTGGAACGTTCGAAGGAGAGTCACTCCAGAATGTAATTTTAAGCTCTCTGGCAACAGAGGGAGGAACAGTTGCTGTGGCCTGAACCTTGAACTTCCATCCAGAGCATGTTTACTGACTGTACACAAATGCTGTTTTTTTGGGTCATACGAGTTCCTCATACCAAGGTCCCTTTGATCCACTCTCTGTGTTCTCTGAAGGAAGTCATCACCAAGGCCACTTCAGTCCTTACTGGGTACTGTTTGCAGTACCCAATAATGCAAGACGTCTCATCTGTGCCTGGAGAGTCTTGTGACTTAGTCATGCAACAGATGGAAAACATCCTCAGAAAAACAACTCTATAAATCATAGAAAACAATCACTGCTCTCTACAAGAATTTCCTCAAGGTCTCACTACCTCTAACAAACAACTAATACATTTACTGTTACCCTAGATAGAGTGGAAAATAACTAGTACACCCTAATATTTATCCTAGACACAGGGACTCTATTAGATTCCCACTACATAAAAGTCAGGATGGTTGTGAGAACCTGAAACACAAGTATGTGGGTAGAGCAGAGGCAGACAGAGCCTGGAGGGATCACTACCAGCCAGGGTAGACAAAATGTTGAATTTAGATTCAGTGGGAGATAATGTCAAAACACAAAGTTGAAGGCAAAGCAGAAACACCTGAAGTTGACCTTGACCTCAACATGATCTCCCTATGACTTCCATATACACACATGCACACTGGTGAATAAAACACACACACACACACACACACAAACACACACACACACACACACACACACACACACACACACACACAATAGGCATGTTTCCCAATGTGGTAAAGCAGGTAATATCCAAATAACTGAAGTGGTTTCATGTTTGCGTGCTTTCAAAGAACGTCAGGCCAGTTTGTGTGACATGGCTGGAGAACTAGGCTTATGGTGGTGAACATGTCTGCTGTTGCTGGATGATTCAAAGAATGCACTTTGGATTACAAATGGTTGTAGTGGGTAGCTGTTTCAGCTTATCCCCATTGAAGCTTCTGGTAACTGTCACGCCTACCTATGCCCTGCCCCTGAGGCGGGGCCCAGATGGGAGTCCTTAAGACCTGAGATCTGGATGTGTGGCTCTCTTGGTTCCTGGTAATCCTGGATGCTGGATGGTAGACCGAGCAGAGTTCTCCAGTGAACACCGCTGGACTGCACTTCACCTCTCCTGCATTCTGTAACCTATCCCTTTACTTGTAAGTAAAACCCCCAAATAAACCTCCCTTTTAACTATGTGGATTTGCCCTAATAATTCCACCAATAAATAGTCAAGCACTTTATCAGTCCCCTGTTACACACCCATGTTCCTGAAAGCGCTAGAGCCATTATGTCACAAAAAAATCTAGTTCAGAAAGATGAAATTGCATGTTTCCTCTCATACAAGATATCTAGAGATATAAGCTCATGTGTATGGGGTGTGTGTGTGTGTGCGCGTGCGTGTGTGCGTGCGTGTGTGTGTGTGTGTGTGTGTGTGTGTGTGTGTGTGTGTGTAAAATGCACATGTGTGTATATATATGTGGGTATATATGTATGTGTATGCCTGTGTGTGTAAATGTGCATATGTGTATATGTGTACATTTGTGTGTGAGAAACATGAAAATAGAAAGGGGATCGATCATGAGAGCAAAGGGAACAATCTAATGTCTAAGGAATGGTTCTCAACCCTTTCACAAGAGTCACCTAAAACCATGGAGAAACACATATTTACACTGTGATTTGTAACAGTAGCAAAATTAAAATCATGAAGTAGCAGTGAAAATAATTTTGTGGTTGGGGGTCACCACCACAGGAGGAACTGTACTAAGGGTCGCAGCATTAGGAAGGTTGAGAACCACTGGTCTAAGGAGTGCTGTAAGGAATCACGTGACCTGAAAGCAGATGGAAGGGCTGCATAACAGGAGGGAGGGGATCAGAGCAGGGGCAGGAGAGACAGGGGAGGGCAGTGGGAAGGGAACAAAGAAGGACAGTCTATAATGATATATATGTGAAAATAGCATGGTGAAATCTGTTCCTTTGCATGCTGACTTTAAAATATCTTTAAAGGGCTGGGTATTTAATTCTAGCACTTGGGAGGCAGAGACAGGTAGAGCTCTGTGACTTGGAAGCTAGCCCAGTCTACATGGTGAGTTCCAGGATAGCCAGAGCTATGCAGAGAAACCCTGCCTCCAAAAAACCAAAAATAAATAAATAAAAATAATGTAACTTCAACAGCACAATTGTAGAACATGATGGCTTCTGTATGTCTTCTGAATTTCCATGTATACTTATTAGGTTGTTGAAAATGACAGATTCCTCTGCAGGAGAGACAAGTGGTTTGGATGAACCAGCCTCTCTGATTCTTATCTGAACAGTGCTGTTTACCATTGTCCTGTAAGAAACTGAGGGCTTCCTCCCCGGATCTGTCTATTCTAGACACTGGCCTGTGGCTGTGCCTGCTAGCACCTGGATAACAGGACCAGATCTACCATCCTTGGTACAGGTCTACCTGGAGTGGTACTCACTTCTGTAACCAGCAGCATCTTCCAGCTCTAGTTTCAGTGTTGCGGCCTGGAACTCTGGTCCTCCCAGAATAAGGGTCATACAGTCCAGATCCCAGGCCAAATCCTGGTGGCACATCCTCTCCCATTTCTTGGGACTGTGACCAGTTGGGAATCCTATTCCAGTCCAGGTTTGGGGAGGAGGGAGCAGAGACAGTGTTGTGTGTCCCAAGAAGTGCAGTTTCTGATGAGACCCACCTTTTTATCCCTGGAGGACCATGTGGTGTTCTTTCTCCTTTCTCTGTCTCTCCCCACACTCATCTGTCTACTTCTCTCTCTTCCTCCCTCTCCCATCCCCCCGCCCACCACGCTTCTCTCACTATCCTTATCTTTCTGGAACAATATCACTGAAACCACTCTCTATTAGATATCATTTCTAGGTCATTTTAGGTAGTGGATTTGCAGGTCACATGGAATCTGATACGGGTTGATAATGAGGTTTTTAGCCACCACTATGATTTGTGTGTGTCCCTCAGACATTTGTGTAATGGAATCTTGATTTTCTCATTATTGGGGTAGTCAGAGCTGAAGAATGTTGAAAGGAGAGACCTATGGAGAGGTGTTGAGGACATCAGGGCAGAAGTCCCTTAAATGGAGTAATGCCATCTGGTAGGAATGAGTGACTCTCCACGCACTCACACTGGATGAGTTACCTTGACTATGGGCTCTTACAGAGCATGTGTTCCTCCCTCTCTTTTCCAGGGGAGATCTCTCTACATAGTCCTGGAACTCTCTAGGGAGTCCAGGCTGGCATTGAATTCACAGAGATCTACCGGCCTCTGTCTGGGACTACAGGGCTGGGATTAGACTAGGTAACAAGGAGGGTTCATGAGGGGGTGCCTGGGGAATAGAAGAGGGTGCTTCAGTGGACTGAGGGTGGGTGGGGATGGGAACAGGTGCAATTAGATTGTGGGGGAGTCAGAGGAGGAAGAGAGTCCTGAAAGAGACTACTGGAAAGAGAGAGGGTATTGCGGGTTCAGGTAAAAACCTGGCACAAGGGAATCTCCCAGGACGACTCCTAGCAATACCAGATGAGTAGCCTGAACTGGCCATCTCCTGTGACCAGATTGATGCCTATCCCAATTGTCATCAAAGAGGCTTCATGCAGCAACTGATGAGTAGGTGGAGTTCAAGGAATCCTGCAGAAGAGGAGGAGAAAGGAGTGTAGAGCCAGAGGGTTGAAGGAAGCCACAAGAAAACTCAACTAACCTGGGCTCACAGGGCTCACAGAGACTGAACAAACAACCAAGGAGCCTGCCTGGGACTGACCTAGGCGCTCTGCATATGTTACACTTGTGTAGCTTGGTCTTCTTGTGGAACTCCTAACAGTGGGAGCAGGGGCTGTCTTGGACTCTTTTACAGGCTTGTGTGACCCTACTCCTCATTCTGTGTCACTTTGCCCAGCCTTAATACATGGACAGGTGCTTAGTCTTACTGCAACTTGATATGCCATGTTTTGTTGATACTCATGGGAGGCGTGCCCTTTTTTAAATAGAAATGGAGGGGAAGTGGATGGGGATGAGCAGAGGTGAGGTAATGGAGAGGGAGTGAGAGGAGAGGAGGGAGAAGAATTTGGGCGGTGAGGAGGGGATTCCCTGCAATGAACAGGTTCCAGAAAAAATATTAGGATCAGGGGAGGGGAAGGTTGAGTCAGAAACCCAGATGGGAAGACTTTGCATACCTAACTGACTAGCAATTGGGAATTTTTTTTTTTTAATTTATACAGATTCAAGATTTCTAAAGAGATACAGATCACATCATTTTGTCCCAGGCACACTTCTCTAGTATGCCCAGGGTTATAGTTTAAGTACAGATAGAACAGATTTTATTATCTATTCTATATCCTTATTACTAGAATTCTACAGATCATTCAGCTTAAACAAGCATAATAGAGCATCCTGTTCTCAGGCTGGCAGTAGTTTGAGGATTTAAGATATTTTAGAAAACATCTGGTTCAGTCCAGGTGAATCACCATGCTTTGAGCAGTATTTTATTAACTTTTAATGGTCAATCATATTACTTGCAAATTAGCTTAAGCCTGAACCATTGTAGCTATTATTCAATTCTTTATAATATTTATATTTATAATCTTATAGGAATTTGTTAAATAAAAGAATTCTTTTGTTTCTAAATTAAGTAACAACATAGCTACTTGATGTAAATCAATCTTTTAAGGAATGACAAATCCTAATTTAACCTTACTCTTCTTATATTCTATGTCATTCTTACACCACCTGTATGTGCTATTATGTTATCCTAGTCACTCTAGCTCTTATTGCTGAATTCTCTTTAGAGACTTAATATATGTGGTCTTTCATCCTATAGATTATGTTCTAAGAAGTTCTAAGTATACTGTAAAAGGAGTTCTGCACTCTGATCTGCTGTAGGATGTTTTTCTGTATGCTGTAAATATGTGTGGTTCCCATTGGATAATAAATAAAGCTGTTTTGGCCTATGTCAAGAAAGCTTACAGCCAGGTGGAAAATCCAAACAGAGATACAGAGACATGAAGGGTGGAGTCGGGAGAGACTCCAGCCCACTGCCCAAGTAGCAACAAGATATCAGCAGACCGGTAACACCACAGTCACATGACAACATATAGATTTATAGAAATGGGTTAATTTTTGGTTGTGAGCCTAGCCTTTAATGGATGAACTATCTCTCCAGCCCATCCAGTCAAACAGAGAGAAGAAGGATTCTAAGAGCAAAGGGCATCAAGCTCATGATGGGGAAACCTACAGAAACAACCAAACCAAACTAGTGGGAACCCATGAAATTTAGACCAATGCCTGTGGAGCCTCCACAGGATAGGACTAGGACCTCTGCATAAGCGAGATAGCTGTGTAGCTTGATCTGCTTAAGGGGCCCCTGGCAGTAGGATCAGGATCCATCCCTGGTGGATGAGCTAGCTTTTTGGAGCCTATTATCTTTGGTGGGACACCTTGAACAGACGATGCAGGGGGAGGGACTTGGACAGGCCTCTACTGAATGTACCAGGCTCTGCTGACTCCCCATGAAAGGGCTTACCTTCTTGTAGGAGGGAATGAGGGTTGGGTTGGTGGGGGAAGGCTAGAGGGGCAGGAGAAGGGGAGAGGGGGGTCTGTGATTGGTAAGCAAAATGAATAAAAAATTTTCTTAATTAAAAATAAATGGTTTAATTTAAGATAAAGGAGATAGCTAGCAAGAAGCTGAAGCCATAGGCCATCCAGTTTGTAATTAATATAAGCTTCTGAATAATTATTTTATAGGTAGCTGTGGGACCTCCAGTGGGAGAGATTCGTCCGGACTGTTGGGCAAGGAAGGACCAGAGAAAGTCCAGCTACACTGATCTGCTGTCAATTCTCCTATCCTGCTGAACCTTGTCAGCTTCCTCTGTATTTATGTGGTTCTATTTTGTTCTTGAGTTTGCATAAGAGCAGATACCAATCTCCAAGGCACAGAGAAGACTCCCAAGTATGATCAACTAAGGTTACTTCCCTGGAAGCAAGGGTGTAGTCATTCAAGACTTCTTCAAGAAGATACAGAAACAATTTCCCCAGAAAAGACATGGGTGAATCATTACAGTAATAGCCTGCCAAGAGTGTAACACACAGAGATTCCAATCAAAAGGGCCTCAGGTCAACTACCAATCATAACATGTGGCTCAGCTTTGCTGGAGCTTTGTCAAGCAGCTGTGCTGGCTTCATGATTTTCTCTGTTCCCCTAGAAGATGGGTGTGCCAGGGAAGTAAAATAAATGACACATAAATACATAATAAATAAATAAATAAATTCACTTATTAAAAAATTCTGGGATTAAATGTGTGCAGCACCACCCTTACTCCCTGAGTTTCTAAACTAGTGAGAAATTATATAAACTACCTAGTGTCTCTCTTCTGGGTGTGTGTGTGTGTGTGTGTGTGTGTGTGTGTGTGTGTGTGTCTGTGTCTGTGTGCATGTGTATAAAATATTTTTTAAATTTTATTGTTCTGCTTTAAAAATACTTAAGTCCAGGCTGGGCAGGATCTGCTCAGCAGCAGTGGGTGGTCATGGGCTAAACACAAACCAGATAGCAACATAGCTAAACCCAAAGGTCAAACAATAGTTACCTAAATTGTTTCAAAATTTCCAGTCTTTCATGGGAATTTTTGTTAATTCCCAGTAAGTTATAAGGAGCTTACATTATCTGTTTTTGTAGGTGCAGAAGGGGAATTCCAAGCAGGAATTTCCTGATTGCTGAGTGGTCTATGGAATCTTGATATGGGGAGTAGACAATGAAACAAGGTTTCTGGTTGATAAGGGATTTATATATGTTCCAGACTCCTGATTAAAACATCAAGAAGAGCGTGAGGCGGTGGCACACACCTTTAGTCCCTGCATTCGGGAGGCAGAGCCAGGCAGATCTCTGTGAGTTCGAGGCCATCCTGGTCTGCAGAGTGAATTCCAGGATAGGCACCAAAACCACACAGAGAAACCCTGTCTTGAAGAAAGCAAAGAAAACAAACAAAACATCAAGAAGAAACCTTCTTGCTTGTTGCAGAGATGCAGTGGGGATAGCTGTAAAGGAAAGCTGTAATGCTTCCAGGGAGAGGAAGATTTGAATCAGGGCTGCCTGACCCCAAGCTTTCTCACTGTATCAGTGACTCTCACCTTCCACTGAGCCCCACACCAGCTGTTCTCCCACCAGCCAGCCTTTCACTTACTTGCCAGACCTTCTCTACCCTCTGTGATGCAATTCTGTTCTTGGCATCCGGGACTGGGTGGACCTACAAGAGAAGCATGTCTGGTTTTGAAACTGCAGAGAACTCAGATGATTCATGAAGGCAGATGAAGACGATGTTGTCCTTGGAACCCAGAGCCCTAGTCCTAGTCCAGCTGTCACTAAAGTGCCTGCTCCTGGAGGAGTTGTTGGGCACCTGTGCAGGTGAGTGCTGGGCAGGGAGAGGGACCTCGCTATGTCCCTGTGCTGTGGGGGGCAGCATGAGGGAACTTGGGGTGTGTAAATACGTGTCTATGTGTCTGTGTGGTAAGTGAGTGTGTGTGTCTCTGTGTGTCTGTGTCTCTGTGTGTCTGTGTATGTGTCTCTGTGTGTCTGTGTGTCTGTGTGTCTGTGTATGCATGCTGTGTGTGTGTATCTGTGTGGTGTGTGTGTGTCAGTGTCTGTGTGGTATGTGTATGTTTCTGTGTGTGTGTGTATGTGTGTCTGTGTGGTATGTGAGTGTGTGTGTCTGTGTGAGTTTGTGTGTCTGTGTGGTATATGAATGTGTGTCTGTGTGTGTGCACCTATGTGTGTCTGTATATGTGTTTGTGTGTTTCTGTGTGTGTGTTTGTGTGTGAGTGTGTGTCTGTGTTTCTGTGTGTGTCTGTGTCTGTGTGTGTCTGTGTCTGTGTGGTGTGTTAGTGTGTGTATATCTGTGTGTGTGCCTATGTGTGTCTTTGTAATGTGTGTTTGTGTGTTTCTGTGCATGTGTTTCTGTGTGAGTGTGTGTCTTTGTATGTCTATGTATTTCTGTGTGTGTGTGTGCCTGTGTGTTTCTGTGTGTGTTTGTATCTGTGTTTCTGTGTTGTGTGTGTGTCCATGTGCTGAGCTGTGTGTGTTTATGTATCTGTGTGTCTGTATAGTTTGTTTGTGTCTGTGTCTCTGTGTGTATGTGTCTTTGTGTATGTCTGTGTGTATATGTCTGAGTGTCTGTGTGTGCTTCTCTCTGTGTATATGTGTGTATTATCTAGTTGAGTCCCTGGAAAGATGCACATCTGGTAGCCATTTGGAGGAACTTTTATGTCTAAAGGACACTGACTGTGGGAGGAAGTGTCCTTGGCTGTCCTAGCATAGTAGACTCCCGGGAACTTGGTGGGGGCAGGATGGCCAATGGTTTCCCAGAGCTGGAAAGCTCCGCCCCCAAGAAACAATATAAGCTCTGTATTCTGTTCAGTTTTCACTGCTTTTCACCCTAGCAGAAGCAAACACTCTGCTGGATTTTTCCCTCCTAATAAATCTATTGGGTGAGGTCTGTTGCAATGACTCTTTTGCTGGAGCAGAGCAGAGCTGTAAACCCCTCTCCTGCTGGAGCAGAGTTCTTACACTCGCATTAAGGAAACCATTCCCAGAGCCAGGGCTGTTAACACTTTGCCAGGGAAACCCTGGTCAGACTCTGAGCAGAGTTCAGGGATTGGTGGGACTTCAAGTCCTGAACTTGGTTAGGGGCAGGATGTGTTTCTTTGGCTCTGGTCTAAGGGACAGGGTGTTCTTTCACTGGCCCTTTTACCCTACAGTGATAATCACAGCCCAGGGAGAGTGTCAGGTCCCCAGAAATTTCAACCTTGACTCGTTCAAGGGACTTATTCCAGTCTCAGACAGGCCTTGCTAGTCTGGTCCTGGACAAGGATATAGAACCAAATTCTCTTTTTCCTTTCATGAAAGCCAGATATTTTAAAATAAACTTTGATATGTTGTACATTAAAGCCAGTTTTTTGTGATTGTTAATCACAGACCTTAGAAATTCTAATATCATATATATTATTCCTAAGTCTTTTCATAATTTTTATATACCTTAAACAACATACTCAGACTTTTTTTAACTCATGAAAGTTTTAGTTATTCATTTTTAAACATATCCATTTTATTTATTACAAATTTATATTTATTAAAAGAATATTTACATTTTTAGAATTTTTATTCATTAAAGTAATTTTTATCTTTTGTCCTAATGGAACTTTAAAAACTCATTTGATTATTAATTTGAGGTAATAGAGGTCAAATATAACTTTAAAATCCTTTAAATGATTGCATTTAGATATATAAATATATTTCATATTTAAAGGCACAGACATAAGTCATTCTAATCTAAAGCAACTGTCAGCTGGGAAAAGTGTGTCCTTCAGGAGGAGCAATCATCTCTTCACACATGAAGACCCAGCAGAATGACCTCAGCAGCTCTTCCATGGCAACAGCTGTAATTGTCCTTTTGATTTTTTTTTTTTTTATGTTTCTGTTGTTGAACTCAAAGACATAGCTCTCTTTGTTGGTAATGTTAACGCCACAGATGTGAGGAGAAAGACCACTGACCCAAATCATCATGGCCACATTAATAAAGCAAACTTTTCTATTCATGTAATATAGACTGTCTCTCCTTAAAGGCAGGGTTCCAAGAGATCAGCCCTGGACATGGGTAACACAAAGGTTTTTATAGTTCAGGAATAGGGGCTTTCCATATGGGGGGTGGCAGGCAAATGGGGGTAGTTACAGAAGCAGAACATAAGCATAATAAGTTGGTCATAACAACCTCCTGAAATAAAGACATGGTTGTAAGGTGGTCATAACAAAGCAGTCATAACAAGGTAAACATAAAAAGGTGGCCATAACAAGGTGGCTATAACAAGGTGGTCACATCAAAGTAGTTATAACAAGGTGGTCATAACAAGGTGGTCACTGTAGATGTAACCAACCGTCTTATTAAATAAGAAACACAGAACCAATGCAAAGAAGAAAGCCAAGAGATCAGAGCTAAGAGCCTTACCCGCCTGCTGCAGCTAGCCAAGAGACCTCTCTGAAAAGAGACCTACTTCCTGTGTGTTTGTCTTTATATAGTCTTTCTGTTCTGCCTTCTCATTGGTTGTAAACCCAAACATGTCACTGCCTGTTTGTACAGCCATCCCTCCAGGTCTTCTATGGTATTTAGATTAAAGACGTGTGTCTCCAATATTGGCTGTATCCTTGACCACACAGAGATCTACCTAGCTCTTCTACCAAGTGCTGGGATTAAAGGCGTGCACCACCACTGCCATGCTCTTGCTATGGCTCTAATAGCTCTGACCCCCGGGCAACTTTATTTATTAACATACAATTAAAATCACATTTCAGTACAAATAAAATACCACCAAAGGTCACAACAAGGTGATCATAAAAAGGAGGTCATAGCAAGGTGATCATAACCTTTTGAAAAAGAAAAACATGGTTTCTGTTTCCTGGAACAGGCAGTATGGAACCATTTATTTCAGGTTACAGGTGGGGCATAGCCCAATCCTTAAGAAACAGATTTAATCATAAATAGCAAAGAACCTATTTTATCTTTAAGTTGGCTTCTAACACTAAGATGGAAGCAGGCTGATTGAAAAGTATGTTTGTATATGTATTATGTAAAAAAAAATGATCAAAAACAAACAAAACATTAAAACCACTACATAAACATATCTTCAGTTTCAGGAATCTGAGCCCATGGTTACTTGAGAGGACAGAGGTTTTTAAGGATGAAGACTAGAGTAGGGTGTGAGGTCCATAGGAAACTCCATTTCCCCCAAATTCTGGTGGTTGGACAAAGTTTCCTCAAGAACTTCAGAAGCCAGTTCCCCTCTACCAAAAGGACCCATTTCTCTATCACTTGCAGAAGGGACAAATGTCTCTCTGTGGTGCCCATTAGCACACCAAAGTGCATGGTGGCTTCCTGGCTCCTGCAATAGCTCAAATGCCTGTTATACATTTCAGAGTCAATGTTAATATCATAGGCTCTTCTCAGCTACTTCCCTGCCCTCAACTCCTCCAGCTCATGGGCTTCCCTCCTCCCAGCTACTCATTCTCCTTAGGACCCTACAGTTTTGGCTGTGCTTCCTCTTTTACTCTCACTCTGTGTCTTCAGTTCTGTCTCCCTCATCACCCTCTCTCTCTTTCCAATACTCTCCCTGTCTCAATGCACCCCAGTCCCTGCTCTGTTTCTGCTTTTCTCATAGACAGGCTCAGTCAGACGACCATGTTCAGCCTGCTGCTTTCTCTCTCTGCTCTGGATGTTAACTCTCTCATGCCTGCAATGAAACCTTCCCCTTAGCCATGTCATGGAGCAGCATGTTGGCAGTTTATACATACTGGTGCCAAAACACACAATAGCTTTTGAACCCCTTTCCAAGAGGCCCAGTCTCTCTTAACTGAACCAAACTTGCTGTGGATATCATTCTATATAAATAAAACACTGATGGCCAGTGACCAGACAGGAAGTGTAGGCGGGACAAGGAGAGAGGAGAATTGGGGAAACAGAAAGAAGGAGGAGAGACACTGCAGCCACCGCCAGGACAAGCAGCATGTAAAGACTCTGGTAAGCCACCAGCCACGTGGCAAGGTATAGATTTATAAAAATGGGTAAATTTAAGATAAAAGAACAGTTATCAAGAAGCCTGCCACGACCATACAGTTTATAAGTGATATAAGCGTCTGAGTGATTATTTTATAAGTGGATTGTGGGACTGCGGGGCTTGGTGGAGCCTGGAGAGAAGCTCTCCAGCAACACACAATAGCTTTTGAACCCCTTTCCAAGAGGCCCAGTCTCTCTTAACTGAACCAAACTGTTGACTGGACTCCCTTGAGGTATGGATCATTTGGTTTTGCTGGCTTCTGCCACCCACCATGTTTACCTACAGAGTCCATCTCTTCAACTACTTCTTCCTTCTGTTGCCCTCTCCCGGGACTTAGGTAAGTGTCACCTCACAGTTTCCTGCTCTGACTCTGTTGGCTCCTGGAGCCTATGACTACTCCTCCCTCTTACTCTGACTCTGTAAAAGTCACACTGGTGAGCCAGGCAACTTCTCTCACCCTGTTGGGTCTCCATCACATGGAAAAGGATGCCTATCAGTTGTGATTTGGGACACTTCTCCCCGACAAGTCTCAGTCCACTTGGAGGACGCCCTGGATTGAAATTCCTGTCACCAGGACACTAACTCTTCTCTCTCCCACCCTTGCTCTACCTCCCTGCATGCTCCCAGTTTTCTCCTATAGCTTATTGGAATCCTCCCTCTGACTAAGTTCCTGCTTGTGACCTTTTCCTCTTCTTCTCTAATCTCCTCCTCCATGGACTCAGAGATTTTATTATGTTTTACTGCAAATGCAATACAGCTCAATCAATGGCTAAAGATGGCATGCTTTATTTCTAAATTCTTGCAGACTGTAACAATTTCTGCCACTGCACAAATGATCCCCAAATCTCTATCTTTTATCTCTAAACTTTTTCTGCTCTTCACTCTCAAGAATGTCTTATCTCTGAGCCTTCCTTGCTTTCCTTGTTTCTCTCTCTCTCTCTCTCTCTCTCTCTCTCTCTCTCTCTCTCTCTCTCTCTCACACACACACACACACACACACATTGGTAAACTCAGTTTTATAGAGATTCAAGTATCTTTGAATATTTTGAAAGTATATTTTTTAAAATTGCTTCATGTTGTTTTACTCCATGAAAAAGATGGGTCTGGAAGTGGGTTATGACCCTCCTGCTACAGACCTGAGGGTGCCTGTTTAAAAGCTTCCTCCAACATCTCTGTCTTGAGTCAAGTGGGCCCCTGAGTGTGGCAGGGAGAAGCAGAGCAAAGTGGACCAGCCCAGGAAAAAGCCCTGTGTGCTTTAAAGCAGCTGAAAAGTAAGCTGTTCCCAGGAGGGATCACTTCTGCTTAAGCTCATGTTCCTCTCTTGATTTTATTTCACTATCTAAATACTCCCTTCTCATATCCCTAAAATCTTTGCTAAAGTATGAACTTTATCTTAAGATTTGTAAGACTATTGTGTAAAATTCTTTTATCTCAGGATTTTAAAGTCATTGGGTGTGATTTAAAAATCTGTAACAAAAAGTCAGCTTAAAACTTATAACAAAAAAAAATCTTTACATAGGTGTGGTCACTTGAATGAGAATGGCCCCATAGGCTCATAGATTTGCATGCATGGTCACCCAGGAATGGCACTACGTGAAAGGATTAGGAGGTGTGTCACTGGGGGATGGGCTTTGAAGTTTCAAAAGCTCAAGCCATGTCCATTGACTCTCCCTCTTCCTCCTGTCTGTGGATCTGGACATAGAACTCTCAACTTCTCCAGCACCATGTCTGCCTGGTTTATTCCACGCTTCTCGCCATGATGACAATGGACTAAACCTCTGTAATTGTGAGCAAGTCATAATCAAATGCTTTCCTTTATAAGAGTTATAGTGGTCGTGGTGTCTCTGTACAGTGACAGAACATTGACTATGGCAATAAGGAATCTTAACTTGCTTCCATGTGTTTGTATGTAACTTGGATTCAACTTTTGTTTAGTTGGTGGCTGTCCTATATAACAGCCAAAAACTGATGGCCTCTCCTTCCAATTAAGCCCTCAAAGTCACTGTGGAGGAGCCTAGGGTAACCGTCTAGGTAGCAGGTAAGTCTCTGTCATTTTAAATGATACAGAGGTCATTTGGATTCTACTTCCTGCCTCAAATTATTCTTCTCAGATCTCTGATGCTGCTGCTGGTGTAATGCTGTGCGTGAGTCGTCTCCCCCACCCTCGTCCCAATAAGACCACCAAGGAGCCGATTTCCGATGTAAGAACAAAAGGTTTCATTTATTCCAGCCTAGGCAGGGACCTTCCCAACCCCACTTTACAGTAGGTGAAAAGAGGGAAGGTCCTGAGCACTCACTTTAAGGGGTTTATATAGGAAAGGTTCACATGCAGAATGTTACATATCTCAGGGCTAGGGATGAGGTAGAGACATAAATTTTTATTCCCTATGTCCTATTTTTGTTGACACAACATTTATTGTTGCATTCCTTCCGAGTTCAACTTCTGGTTAACTGATTCCATTACTCTTCACACCTTATTTTGCCAAGTCTAGGATACACGGATTTATTGTCCCAGCCTTATCTTTCTCACAGGTTCAACTTTTGGTCAATTCAAAAAAAGCTGGTCAGCAAATACCTTTGGAGGAAGAAGGGAGAAGGGGAAGGAAAGTCTTTTAAGATGACTATTAATTTCTCCCTTTCAATGGCTGACTGAAGCTCTATCAGTCTGACAACAGCAAGCAGCCAGCTCCTCTCCAGAGGCTGCAGCTGCCTGGTCAGCCCATTTCAGATGTAAAAATCAGGTTTGCTCTTTTCTAGAGCTATCAGTTCTCCTGCTGAGAAAGGCAGACTCACAGACAGATTTGCCTTGCTGAGGGGCTTCACATTGAAAGAGATAAACTCACAAAACAGGTTTCAGTGTAGAACCAAACACAAACTACCATGCTCCTATTAGTAACTAAACGTTTATCTTTTGTTATCTCTATTTAAAAGCTTGATTTCAGTGACTGCTGTCAGTAATCAACCCCTATGCCTCAGGGTAAATGGTTGGATGGAAGTTTATAAATTGTTAGAGTCTGAGGAAGTGATTTAAAATATGTGAAAAATGAGACTTAAAGATCATGTAAAGACTTCAAAAGTTGATCGATGGAGTCTTATAAGTTATTAGTTAGCCATGGTAAAGCACTACCATGGTTCAATATTTTAAATTTCCTTTGGTTGCTTTCTAAATATAGAATTAAAAGTGCTTCTCATGACACATGTTAACTGATTTTTCTACACTGCAGATTTCATGCAGATTACAGATGGCAGTCATGCTGATGCTTCTGAAACTTTTATCTCTTTTCTTTTGTAAACTTTAAAAAACGCATACAACTTCAGGGAGTCAGAACTTGGGCCACCTGTCACAGGTCAAAGGAACTCAGATACATATTCTTGTCAGTCAACAGTCTAAGCTCTCCTACCTACTGCCTCTCCCGGAGGCAGGCTCTCACCCTCCCCTGATGTTGTGATTCCTTCCACCTCCCCAACTACCAGGACCACAGCCCTGGAAGTTTCAAGTGTACAGCCAAGATAAGGATTTTCCCTAAGTTGCTGAACTTACCCTTCTGGCCCTAGAAGATGTCACCTCAGCTGACAGACACCATCCAAGAAGCAACTGTGGAAGGCAAACTGCTTCAAAACAGCCTTCAACATGTCCGCTTCAGGTGGTACCTCAAAACCAGTGAGCTCTGGACTTGCTGAAAGCCCCTGTAGACCAGATGATGGAATTCTTCTGACATTTCCTCAGATCTCCTACCATCATCTACCTTTTATTTATTTACTGGACAAGAGAACAGACCACAAGATACAACAAAATCTACTTTGAGAGTTTTATTAAGGGGGTGAGGGGAGGCAGGTAGGAAAGACAGGCAAGTGAGCAAGCCTGCCAGAGAGGAAATGTACAGAAAAGGGTGGGGAACGGGTGGAGTCTGCTTTTAAGGATCACCTCGATCGTGCAGCGTGCGTATAGGAGTTTATGTAGCCACACCACACATGCACATAGACATAGACGATGCGCATGGATTATGTAGGACATAAGGCACCAGAGTGACTGAGCATTTTACCAGAATGCTGGCAGCACACGGTCAGTCATGGGACTCTGGAAGCCGCTAGGAGGCTGTTGGGAATGATGACATTCCACCCATTTTGTTGTTATAAAAAGTGAGGGTTTAGGGGTGGCAGGTGGATGGGATGGGGGTACCAGGTCTCTCAAAACTGCTTCCAGTGAACGTGCTGGGCATCAGTTATTGGGGGTGGGGGAGGGCTTAACCAGTCGACCTGAGGTAGCTGGTTGTCTTTGCGGCTGTTTGAACTCTGTGGAATCATCCTCCGGGGCCGCTTGGATCTGACAAGTTTGGACCCGACAAGATGCTGGTGAGGCAGAAGATGAAGTTTAGAAAAAATTTTCTTAGATCCTTGTACTTGGAGGGGAAGGAAAGATGGGGGGAGGGGGATCCCTGAGGGGTTCCAGGATGAGAGAGGTGGGTCCTGGGACCATGGAAAGATTAAGTGATACTTATCTGGAGTGACTCTAACCTATCTAGGTGGGTCCAAGCCAACTCCCTGGAGCTCAGAAGAACTTTAAAGTTTACAAAAGAGACAAATTTTAGACATATTAAGAAGCAATCAAAGGGATTTTAAAATACTGAGCTTGTAGATATGATATTATAGTATTTAGTACTCTGCTATAAGAATTGTACTGATTAGTGTTAAACTTACAGAGTCACATAGCAAGAGAGAAAGAAGAATCAGACACCACGCAGCCACATGGTCTACAACTGCAACAGAAGCTACAGACATTGAATCAGACCCTGGCTGCTGTAGGGCCACAGAGACGCACCTACCCTCAGCAGCAGTCCAGGCCCAGACAACACCAGGGCCCTGGCTGGCAGCAGAAGACACTCAGAGCACCATGGCTTCATGGTACCCAGGACCTCAGACACCAGAAGGCCATTTTACATCTCTCTACTACAGTCGCTCCTTCTGACTCTCACTCATTCTCTTCGCTCCTTTTCTCTTTCATGCTCTAACAAAATATTCCTCTTGGCTTCTCACACTCACACAGCAACAGAAGACAGTCTGAGCTCAATTCCTCAAGGCAGAGCTGACTGTGAAACCCATCAACTTGTTTATTGTGTCATCTTTCTCTTCCTCTCTCAGGAACCCATACTCTGCACTATAACCTCATGGCCTTGTCTCTGGAGGGGACAAGGAAGTTCGAATTCAGGGCCCAGGGATACATTGACAATGAGCCCTTCCTGCGCTATGAAGGCTACAGGAGAAGAGCAGAGCTCTGGGGGCCTAGGATCAAGGGAAAAGGAGGAGCTGAGATCTGGACAAGAGAGACTGAGGACATGCAGGAGAAGGAGGAGCAACTCAGGAGGATGCTGACTGAGGTCATGACCCAGAAGGGCCAGCATGGAGGTGAGTAGGCAGAGACAGAAGCACATAATTCAATTCTGGTCTCTAAAGTCAGGGATGGGGGCTGGACACAGCTAGGATAGTTGAATAAACCAGTGATGCTTCTGTGAGGGATGCAGGATCTGACTCCTGAGAGGTCACAGGATGTAGACAATTCACCATAAGACCAGAGGGAAAGAAGGTCCTTAAAAATGAGGTTACAAAAAAATAAGGTGACAAGTCTCTGTCTGGTATGGCCAGGCATTCATACCCTTCAGGCAACTTTCGGCTGTGAAACCCAAGGAAGCAACACTGGAGGCTTCTGGCGCTTGGGCTATGATGGGCAAGACTTCCTCACCTTTGACCAGAAGAGCCAAATGTGGAAAGTATCTGTGCCTTCAACTCACTCAACCAAGACATTCTGGGAGAGGCATGGCCCCAGTGTGGATCAAGTTAAGACTTTTCTGAATGACACATGTCCTGACCGTCTCCAGAGATACTCGATTTATTTGGGGAACCAATTGATGGTTACAGGTACTGACTATGGGTGGGTGGGTCCATTCACTGAGTCTAACTGCATCTTACCACAGTGCTTATGAGGTAGTGGATTCTCACTAAATTAGACAAGCATCACATAGTCTAAGGTGACACTCAGATGGAGTGTGAGTAATCTCCAGAGCCACTGTTGTGCACCTTAAGTGGGGAAGCTTAGGTATCTCTGACATGAGTGCATAGTTATAAGTCCCCAGATGTCAGTAATCTTAGATTTCACTCCATTGCCCCCACTTTCTGGGGTGTTCACTTTGAAGAACTGAGACAACTGGGTGTGTGGAGTCCTGTCCCTTAGATGGGGTCATCATGATGGGGAGTTGAGATAGGAGACTTCTGTACCTGGAGCTGGTTCACAACCTATTCTGTGTCATGGGTCAAAGTCATTTTGCTCTTGTTCTGGTCTTGATTAAGGAAGGTCAAGTTCAATGCTGCTTCTTCAATTTAATCTTGTGACAAAAACACAGAGCAGTAGGGGCCTTTGGGTCCTTGTGCTCACTGATAAGCACCAGGGAACCAGGAGAATGATGAACACAAAGGGCTGTCTCTTCAAAGGGAGAGATCTTTTCCACCCAGGAATCTGGGAGCAGAGAGACATGGGTAAGAGCCTTCTGACCTTTGAGCAATCTGTATGGTCAGGGCACACAGGCTCTCCAAGACCCTTATCCTAATCTTGTTTGACTCGTTCTATCTACAACACTATTCTCTAGACCTCCATCATGAACTTGTTTATCTTTTCTCAGTTATCTATGGATTTTTCAGTTTTTTCAGTTAATCTACAGAATCTATTTTTATGGAAAATGTCACTGGTACTTTTCAAGACTTTTGACATAGTCATGTATTATGCTTCATTGTACACACAGGATTGAGTTAATTATCACCAGAAATCTTTTTTTTTTCTAATTATACTGAACTTAAAAATACCTAAAACAAATTACTTGAGATCAGACTCTCAAAGTTTGAACTAACACTGGCTACTGCTCAGTGTTCAACCAGACTTCCTTCTTGCCTCTTGTGGATTGACACTCTTTGTTGGGCATCCTGTACACAGAGACACTCATAAGTGTTCACAGAAACCAGGGTGGTGAGAGGGTAGTCAAGATGAAGAAACCACTGATATCCAAGGATCTTAAAGGGGAAAAACTCAGAACCTTAGGCAAATAATCAGTTCCCTGTCCTAAGGAAGGATGGTACCTCACTGTGCCTTAGAGCTTGCAGAACAGGCTTTCTTTTCTTCTGTGGCATAAGGAGCTACTGTCCACTGAGATCAGGTGTCCAGTCCCTGTAGACCAGAGAAGCTCTTTGTCCCATCAGCGTCTACAAATTCTTCTGCATCACAGGCTGGATCAGCTGGCCTCTGACAGCGAGATTTTCATGTCCTCTCAAGTTCTCCAGGTTGGTAGAGGCTGACACCCGTAGATTGTCAGGGGCCAGTGGAACCGAGTGTGAATCTCATATACTCATCTGTCTCCCAGGGAAAGGAGGCTGGAGAAAATATCCACAGGGTGACGTTATATAATAACTGGTTGTTTCTGCCCTCAGATTCTCACCAGGAAAGGCTTTTGGGGTCTCCAGCCTCACTGAGCTCTGCCTAGTCTTTCCGCAGGTATGCAGGAGATGACTGACCCACTGTAGTTCTGCAGTGGGGACACACACTCTAACCTGCTTTGTTTCTAACCTGTGTCTTTGCCATCCCCACCCCCAAGTTGGGGCTTGGGAGATGGCTCAGTGGGTAAGAGCACTGGTTGCTCTTTCAGAGGACCCAGGGTGAATGCCCAGTATTCATGAGGGGGCTTAAAACCATTTGTCACTCCAGTTCTAGGGGATCCAATACCTTTTGGTGACTTTTTTAAGCACTAGGTTACACATGGTACATGTACATTTTGGCAGGCAAAATAAAGTACATAAAATAAAGTAAATAATTCTAAAATATTTAAAAGATCAAGTTTCATTTTTTATTTGGCTTGTCTTTTTTTAGAAAACAGAGTCATAATTCACCTACCACCTGCCTCTACCTTTCTAGTGTTATAATAATGGACCTGTCTTGGATCTGAAATATGATGTTTAAAACTTTGGATATCATGTAACAGAAGATAAGAGGTTGTCCTGGGATATTTGTGAAGGAAGAAAGATACTGGTCATCAGTTTTTGGCCAACTCCAGGAACAGAGAATCATGGCCACAATCAGCTGACTGTACTTAGAGAGTCCCTCACCTGTCCCCTAGAGACTGCTGAGCTGGTTTTGTCATAGAGAAGAGGCACAGCCCACCACAGTCTGATCTGTGGCCCCCATAAACACTGAGCCTCTGTCCTCTCAGTGCCTGTTGTTCATCTATGACCTGTGTTGGAAAGAGGAACTGATGGCCTGTGACAGCAGGGACACCCTGTCCTCTCATCATCAGCATGTAAAGAAGGGATGGATCCTCAAGGGCATCAAGGAGCTGAGCCCCAGCCTCCCACAGTCCTATAGCCACTGGGAACTGTGTCATCTAAGGAGGGGAGGCTGGAAGTGAATATGAACAGGGTGGTTCTTCTGGGCAACACTCCATGCAGAGATAAAAAGGTCCTCACCTCACTGACTCACTTTATCTTCTCTCAGGTCCTCCGATGGTAACAGTGTCCAGAAGGCCATACCCAGTGGGCAGGATCACCCTGACATGCTGGGCTTTTAATCTGTATACTCCTGTGGCCACCTTGACCTGGCTTCAGGATGGGAGACCAGTACAGCAGCATTCATTTGGGCCTGGGACCATCCTTCCCAGTGGAAATGGGACCTTCCAGACCTGGGTGTCTATTTGGGTTCTTCCTGGACAGGAACCACACTTCACCTGCCGCCTTAGGCACCGCAACAAGAACATTGATGTCCCTGCTGCCCTTGGTGAGTAAATGGGGCAAGCATCACTCTAAGAGGGGAAGGGGGTAGGCAGGGTCGGGAAGCCCCTGTGGAATACAATCACTATAACTTTTCTGGTCTCTCCAGGACCTCAAGCTAGGAATAGTGGTGGGGCCACCAGCTCTGCTTCTGCTCTTGTGGCTTCTGCTTTTCCTGCCATGTTGGTATTTCTAGCCTGCGCCTAGAGCAGCAAGGACACACAGGACAGCAAGAGACCAGGTGAGCATCCCTGCAGGGTGTGAAAGGGGGTGACAGGCCTTTTCTTCTCTTTGTAAATTGTACAGGTAGAAAGGTAGACACACAGGCGCCATTTTGCCCCACAGATGAATGGAAGGGCCCAAGGAGCCACCATCTGGTACCCATTAACCTTCCCTGCTGTTGGGAGGCAGCGCCCCCTGGTGGATGTACGGTGCTGCTTCCCATGTGTTCTTAAATACATTGGGAAACACAGGGACAGGAAAGCGGGCAGGATACCCACAGAAAAATCCAGATTGTGGCAAACCACAAGTGTTCCCATCTCTTCAGCAAATACACAGAAAGCAAAGAGCCAAACAATACAGAAGAAGACCTGGTAACCTAAAACATGATTAACAGGCAATTCACCAGAAGATGATGTCATTTCCAATTAGCATCTTGATTCATACATGGAAACCTCTCCTCAAAAGATATTCATTAACATCTGTTTGAGACAGTGTATGTGTACATAAATACAGACATTTAAAGATTTTGGAGATATTTTGATCTCTGTGGTGTCTTTAAGTCCGTATTAATAATCAAATGGATCGATAAAGGTCCCGATAGGACTTCTGGTCTATCTTCTAAGTTGAACTAGTATCATCCTAACTTCAGCCATGGCAGCCTAAAATGATCACAACAAAATTTGCTAAATGTTAATACTCCTTCAATAAAAGGAGGTGAAAGGCCCTCCCAACCAATTTTTTAAAATAATAATGGGAGATCTATGTATATTACTATGATGGTTTTAAAAATAAAAATGTTATAAACATGAGATATGGCATTAAAATGGTAAGATGTTATAAAATGGTTCAAACTATTTAATGAATAAAGATTGATGTATGAAGATTATGGGGATGTATGGTTATAGAATGAAAAACTAAAAGGTTTTTATAAGTTACAATTGTCTGAGTAAGACAATGTAGTTAAGAATAAGACTTAAAAATAATATATTTGATATTTGTTTCTAAGGTCTAAGATTAACAATTACAAAAAACTGGGTTTAAAGTATCTCAAATCAAGGTGGGGATGGTATCAGGAATCTGGTGGGGTGATTTGGGGGAGAGTACTGAAAGAACCAACGGGAAAGGGGGTATTTCAGGGTCAGTAGAAACCCAGTGCAAAGGGAACTCCCAGGAATCGACAAGGATGACCCCAGCTAACACTCCTAGCAATAGTGGAATCCTACACTGAACTGGCAACTTCCTGTGACCAGCCAAGACTTCCAGTGAAGGTGTCTGGACCCCAAGTGAGCTACATCACCTTAGACCTACACTGTGTTCTGACTATGGGATGTACTGGGGTAAGGGTGACATAGAGATTGTGGGAGTGGCCAACCAATGACTGCTCCAGCCTCAGACCCATGCCAAGAGAGTGGGCCACCCCTGACACTGCCTGGAGTGCCAGGACCCAGAGGCTGGATGCCCAGAGACCTAGGATGGAACCAAACAGGACTGTAGAGAAAAATCAAAGTAATGATGCCTAGGGATATTCTGCTATACTCATAGATTGGTGCCTAGCCCAGATGTCATCAGAGAGCCTTCATCCAGCAACTGGTGGAAGCAGATGCAGACCCACAATCAAACATGAGACAGAGCTCAGGAAATCCTGCTGAAGAGAGGGAAGAAGGATTGTGGGATCCAGAGAGGTCAAGGACATCACAAGAAAACCCACAGAGTTAACTAACCTGGGCTCATAGGATTTCACAGAAACTGAACAAACAACCAGGGGGCCTGCAAGGGACTGACCTGGGCCCTCTGCATAGATGTGACAGGTGTTTAGCTTGGTCTTCTTGTGGGACTCCTAGCAGTGGGAACAGGGGCTGTCTCTGCCCCCTTTGCTGGCTTTTGGAAACCTGCTGCTCATATTAGGTCACCTTGCCCAACCTTAATACAAGGTGAAGTGCTTAGTCTTACTCTAACTTGATAAATGCCGTGTTTTGTCAATATCTCCTGTTCTTTTCTGAACAGAAATGGAGGAGGGGTGGATCCACTGGGGGACACAATAAAGGGTCGGGGAGAGGGATGGGAGGAAAGGAGAGAGTGAAAACTGCAGTCCCAATGTAAAATCCATTAATTTTTAAAAAAATGACTATAATGTATGTTAAATCAAGGTTCATATTTAAATATCTGGCTTTTAAAACATTAGATGACATTTACAAGTATCAGACCGAGGTAACTGGTCTTCTTCGGGGGTTCTCAACCTGTGGGTCATGACCCCTTTGGGGGTCACATATCAGATATCTGGCATATCAGATATTTGCATTATGATTCATTTCAGTAGTAAAATTACAATTATGAAATATCAACAAAATAATTTATGGTTGAGGGTCACCACAACATGAGGAAATGTATTAAAAGTACCGCAGCATTAGAAAGACTGAGAACCAAGCTGGGTGGTGGTGGTGCATGCCTTTAATCCCAGCTCTCAGGAAGCACAGCCAGGTGGTTCTCTGTGAGTTCGAGGCCTCCCAGGGTTACAGAGTGAGTTCCAGGAAAGGCTCCAAAGCTACACGGAGAAACGCTTTCAAGAAAAAAAATGAAAAAATAAGAAAGGCTGAGAACCACTGTTCTAGACGTATCCTATGTGGGGCCTGCACCGTTCTCTCTAACTATAATGGGGTATCATTCACCATTCCTGTTTATTAACGGTGGTCAGTACAGATGTGTCCCTCTGATCTGAGTGGACTGTTAGGCCTATGGCTTTGAGATCTACTAGGGGCTGGATATATAGTCTTTTCAGACATCAGTTCATTCGTCACTTGAGTTTTCCAATCTCTAATAATCCACAGGTTACCCCATTGGGTGAACATTTCCCAGTTTGCAGTGAGAGTCTGGTGACCTGGTTTGAGAGTGGAATTCAACTAACATTTCTGCAGTACTCACTGCTATAACTTCTACAGCTGCTTCCACCGTGGCCCTGACGGTGCACACTGCCCATTCTGTTGATCAGCTTGCTTTAATACTTCTGTGGCTTTGCCAACACAAGAATGTATAGACACAAACATAAGAGCTTCATTACACACTTTAGAAGCTATGGTAATTGCACCTAGGAGATACAGTACAAGCAATATCATGGTGGCACACACCTTTAATCCCAGGATTTGAGATCTTATGTCTTGCTTGGGAAAGACACATGCCTTTAATCCCAGGAAGTGATGGCAGGAAGCAGAAAGGTATAAAAGGCGTGAAGACCAGGAACTAGAGGCTTTTAAGCTTTTAGGCTTTCAGCAGCAGTTCAGCCGGGGTCCATTTAGGACTCAGAGGCTTCCAGCTTGAGGAAACAGGATAGGCTGAGAAGTTGGCGAGGTGAGGTTAGCTGTGGCTTGTGTTCTGTTTCTCTGATGTTCCAGCATTCACCCCAAAATCTGGCCCTGGGTTTGATTTTATTAATAAGACCTTTTAAGATTCATGTTACACCTGGTGCCCAACATTTGAGTTACAAATTTGAGAAAAAGCCGCTTACCTGTGGCCTTGCATTCCCCAGCTCAGGCCCAAGCTGCAGGCAGCCAGTTGTGGTGGTGCACACTGGTAGGATTTGCTGAAGGAGGCAGAGGCAGGAGAATCCCAAGTTTGAGGCCAGCCTAGGAGGCTCACTGAGGAGAAGCTGCAGCTGAGGCCGGGCTTGCCACCAACAGTGGCAGCTGGACCATGGAGTCGGCTCTGCATTGCTGGCTGCTTCTCAGTGTTGGTGGCGATGGTGCTGCTTCGCTTGTTCAGAGAACAACTGCCAGGACCATCTTATTACAAGGAAGCATCAGCAAAGGTCAGTTTGGAGAAGTTTGACAAGGCAGGTGGTGGGGAGAAGTTGCGGTGAAGATGTTCTCTGCTAGGGAAGAATGTTCATGGTTCTGAGAGGCAGACATTTATCAGACTGGGATGTTATACCATGAACACGCCCTAGGATTTGTAGCAGCTGACAACAGAGACAATGGCACACGGACTCGGCTGTGGCTGGTGTCCAGTAACCATGAGCATGGACCCCTTTTTGATTACTCAAACAGATACACGGTTACAGTGGAAGGGTTGATCAATCTCGCTCTGTCCATGGCAAGCGGCCTTGCCCATCTTCACATGGAGACGGTTGGTGCCCAAGGAAAGCCAGCTGTTATTCACAGAGATTTGAAATCAAAGAATATCCTGATGAAGAAGAATGGAACCTGTTGTATTGCAAACTTGGGACCGGCTGTGAGACATGATTCTGCCACAGATACAATTGATAGTGCTCCAAACCACAGAGGAGACACACACACACACACACACACACACACACACACACACACACACACACACACAAATCTGCAGGGAACCATGACCACATCTAACAGCAACTTTGAAATCTCCAAAAGGATGACAATTTCACATTGACTATGATAAAGCCATTAATCTGATTAATAACACCCAAAGATTGGCTTTGGACTACAAACTGCTCAGGACAATTTCAAGATGGCTAGCTGAGATGATCCAGATTCACAGACTACTCAAGCAAGGACTTAAGACAAGCCCTGCACTTTCCCATTATGCAGAGACTGGACAAATGATACAGCTAACTCTCCCAGGACTTGACAATTAACCCAAAACTTTTCTTTTTAGGATCCTCTAAAGATGCCTTCACCCCCAAACAGCAGGAAGTTAAGAGCTCGAGACCCACATTCCCAAGAGGTGGGGTGGGTGTTTCTTGGTTGTTTCATGAGTTATGGATATTGTCATTGTTTACGATGGTTTGTTGCAAGTGGTTAATTGGTAACAGTCAGGAAAAAAAGCTAAACAAAGGAAATTAGACACAGGCTTCTTGTTTAAAAAAAAGAAAAAGAAAAAGGAGGATATAGAAAAGGGTAGATTATTGAATTTACTCTGAAAAGAAAAAAGGGAAGATATAGAAATGATAAGATAAAAGGTAGATTTTTTAATCTACTCAGAAAAAAAGAGAAAATATGGATATGATAAGATAAAAAGGTAGATTATTGAATGTACTTTTAAGAAGGAACTACTTTGTTTTAAATAGAATAAATAATGAAATATTTTGTCTAAATTTGTCAAATGTTAATGGACTGGGCATTGTTAATATATATAATGGAGTGTTTTGTCTGAATCTGTCAAATGTTAATGGACTGGACATAGTTAATGCAATTTTTTTTAAGGTTTCCTGACTTTATTGGTTCAACATTAAATGACGAAGAAAAACATTAGCTATTACTCCTGGGGCATTATCCATAGTCTCAAAAACAATCCTTTGAATGCTTAATGTAGTTCTTGACGGTATATATTGCATATACTTTTTGTATATAATTTATCTTATATTAGTTATAACTTTTTTATTTTAAACAAAAAAAGGGGAAATGTGGTTGATATATTGTGCACTCCAATAAACTTATCTGGTGGTCAGAGAACAGAACAGCCACTAGATAGACATAGAGGCCAGAAAATGGTGGCGCACACATCTTTAATCCTAGTATTCTGGAGGCAGAGATCCATCCGGATCTCTGTGACTTCAAAGCCACATTGAAAATAGAGCCAAGCATGGTGGCACCTGCCTTTAATCCCAGGAGGTGATGGCAGGAAGCAGAAAGGTTTACAAGGTGTGAAGACCAGGAACTAGAGGCTTTTAAGCTTTTAGGCTTTCAGCAGCAGTTCAGTTGGGATCCATTCAGGTGAGGACTCAGAGGCTTCCAGCTTGAGGAAACAGGATCAGCTGAGGAGTTGGCGAGGTGAGGTTAGCTGTGGCTTGTGTCTGTCTCTCTGATCTTCCAGCATTCACCCCAAAATCTGGCCCTGGGTTTGTTTCTATTAATAAGACCTTTTAGGATTCATGTTACACAGTATAACATCAGTTAACTCTACAGTGCCCTGCTGGCTTTACATACATATATTACACCTTTAAGCTATAATGAATCCAGATAAAAATGAAATAAAATTAAAAGTTACTTACAGGGTATATGGTGTCATAAGAATGTTTATTTAGATTTATTATTAACACTCAGGCAATTAATTACTGTCCTAGGCTGTGGTCATCTCGAATTCAATTCCCCTTTGTTGCCAGCCCAAGACTTATTACAGAAGGCACAAGGATTCAACGCTTTTAACATCCTTTAACGTGCATTCTGCATTATGCTCAAACTCTTTATGTTGGTGATTCATTTGGAAATATTAGGGGGCATTTGTAGGTGTAAGGGATATCAATGTCTCTTAGACATTCAGATGCAAAATACTCATCTAACCTTAAAGAGTTAAAAAGGGGGGTTACATGGGGAGACAGAGCAACCAGGGACATTCTCAGAGGCCATGAGGACTAAGGGAGGGATGGTAGGTCTGTTGTATGGAGCTAATACATGGAGCTAAGAAGTGAGGGGTTTGTTTGCCACAGGAACCTTTAGGGACAGGGTGGAAGCCTGGCTTTACTGTTGGTCTTACAGCTAGCTGCTTCTGGAAAACTCAGTGGAATCCTGCCTTCTCCCTGGGGATGGGGGCAGGAGGATGAGCTTTGGGCAGGGTGGGAATCATCCTTGTCAGGAGAGGAGGGGTACAGAGTGAGTCAGAGAGCTTGAGAAATGGTAAATGGAGAGGAAAGAAATAAGGAGAAGAGAGCTTGGAAAATTCTTGTGGGAGTGAAGAGAGAGGGATGCTTAAACTGAAGACTAAGTGAGACTAGCAATTTTGTAACACGTGCCCCTGGCTGACCTAAGTGGTGTGGTCACAGACTGGGGAGGCTTCATTGTCAGCTTGGGGGCACATGAGTATTGGGGTGCACTGACCACTACAGTGAAGTCAGGAAGCTGCTACAGGAAGGAACTGGAAGCTCTTTATCCCAGAGCTGGGTGACTGGCCTTCTGGGGAGGGGGTGGAGTGTCTCAGCTCGGGAAGGATGCAAGCAGTCTCTAACACAGTGGGGGTGGGCCTTTTAGTGTCCACTGCACTCAAGACACACAGAGAGTTGGTGTGCACCTCATGGGCAGCACAGGTGTGTGGGTTTATGCAGGTCCGTTGATTGAAGACTCGGGGGCACCTTAAGAATGAATCTAGTCTTTTGTGGCTGCAGGGGTATCAGTCTCTAAGAACTGAAACCTTCTCCCTTCACCTAGGGCATTTTTATTTTTCTCCATGTTTACACATTAGCCAGTTGATTTCCATATGTTCAAAACAACCTGAAAGAAGCTTCCAAAAATACAATGCCAAGTGCAAATTTCTCAGTTTATCAGGTACCACAGTTTTTCTAGGTTTCCTGAACCAAGTTTTTCATAGGCTTTGTATTCTTTGAAGATTATCAGACAAGATTTTTATAGGGCCAAAAGAAACAACAAGTATCTGCCAAACAAAAGACGAATTATGGCCTGGGAGCCAGCTCTGCCAGGTATAGCTCAGCAGGAATGCTTCCACAACATGCAGCTGCTCTGGTGGGGGCAGAATCTAAGACTTCTAGATTCCTGTCCAAAATGTCATGAAAGGACTACTTTCTACATATTACAGAGTGCAAAAGACACTCTGTAAGAAATTGCATCACACTTTCCACATGGAACAGGACCGGACTTGCCAGGACTCCTCAGGAACTCTCAGCATCCACTGCTTCCTAAGCCTGCCCCAGCTGCCCTTTCTCCCAGAGAGCCTCAGCTTCAGGAGGCTCCTCCTGAACCTCCCTCCTTCACCTCCACTCATCTATATAACACTCAAAGTTTCCATGGGAGTCAGGCGGTGATGAGCAAGAGGAAGACTGAGTCCGGCTCCATCTTCAAGCAATGATAAAGCTGGGAAACTCCTGGCTTTTTGTTCAAGACAAGATCACAAGACCAGTGGAGGTGGCACTGTTCCGAAATGCCATAATCCTGGCCCAACTGCTGTTGCTGTGTCTTTTGGAGGTTCTGGTGTCCTGTGACGGTGAGCACTGGGAAGATGGGGGATACTCAGTCTGTGCCTGTTTTGTGGAGTGCAATGGGAATGTGCCAGAATCTGGTGTGTGTGGAGAGTCAGAGGCTGGTGGGATCCCTGGGGAGAATCTATCAGAGAATGGTGAGGAGAACTTCAGTATCTAAGGACACTGTGCGACATTGGAGAAGGGGATCTTTATCTGTACTGGCCTAGTAGTGTGGTCTTAGGCTCCTGGGAACTTGTTCTGCTCCTGCAAATGCTGGATTCATGTCAGGCCATAGACTTCTGTGTTTTCCTGCCACGACTGACTGAATTCGTGTGCTTTGGGCCATGGGGAGGTTCCAGTCAGTGTTGGCTCAGATGTACAAGTAGGGTGAGGGTTATGAATGTCCCCTATCCTAGAGAAACATGGAATGAGGGGTTAGTGTCAATAAGAATTTTGTAAAGTGAGTATTTGGTGCAGTGTGACAGCGGGGGTGTGGGGGTCCCTGCCACTCTCTGTGGAGGTGGTAGGCAAGCTCTTGAGGTGGTAACAACAGGAGAGACATGTAATAAAGCAAGCAGTAGGGAGGGAAGTAGAAGTGGTGTCCGTCATACCAGGGAGGTAGAGAGGAGTCATGATGGGTGTGGGGACCCCGTGAGGGGGGGTGGGGGAGGGGTTGTAGGAAGGAAGTGTCTGGGCAAGTGTGGACAGGGAGTCAGTATGTAAAACCTCAGTAACCCGCCCCCACTCTGTCCCCTATACAAGGAGAAGTTTAAACCAGGATTCCTAAGTGTAGATAAGAACTTAGACCCCCTTTTCCCAGGTGGCAGTATCAGCTAACACAAGAGTCAGGATATTGGACCATCTGGCAGCAGTTAATTGGTCATAAAACATTTCAAACTTCCCGAACCCCGGAGACAGCTCGTAAAACTCCTAAACACGGTTGCTGAACAAAGGAGGAATAAAGATAACATGAAAGACTAAAAAAGAAAAACTGATACAAACCAAAGAAAGGGAGGCGGGTTGTGAAAAATGAATTATGTGGTCTGTGCCTTTAAGAACTAGCCTTACAAAGAAAGAGCAAGCTCCTCCTGGCCTCACTGCTACCACAAGTGAGTGCTTTGGATCAAGCTTCCCTGCCAGTGGCTTGTAAACAGAAATAAACCTTGCTTTTGCATTCTGTACCTAAAGTCTCCGATGGCCTCTTTGGGGTCGCAATCTGGGCATAACAAGTGGACTCAGGGACATTGTCTCAAATTTACTCTGGATTTGCCAAGCATGTTCTGGTACGCCCACACTCCATTGTCCAAATTCTACTACAGTTTGAATGAGAATATTAGTTTTTGATTGTTTATTTGCTTGATTTTTCCCGATTTAATTTCTTATTGATTTTTTTGTGGATTTCTCATCATGCATCTTGATATCACTCATTTCTCTGTCCCTCCCTTCTGCCCTCTACCCTTCAACCTTCCCACCGAGATAAAACAAAACAGAATTCAAAAGAAAAGGAAAGAATACTCTTATCATGGAATCCATAGTGTGTCACAGTGAGTCACACATCCATAGTGTGTCACAGTGAGTCACACATTCTTCTTTTTTTTTTTTTTTTTTGGTTTTTCGAGACAGGGTTTCTCTGTATAGCTTTGCTTTTTTTTTTTTTTTTTTTGGTTTTTCGAGACAGGGTTTCTCTGTATAGCTTTGCGCCTTTCCTGGAACTCACTTGGTAGCCCAGGCTGGCCTCGAACTCACAGAGATCCGCCTGCCTCTGCCTCCCGAGTGCTGGGATTAAAGGCGTGCGCCACCACCGCCCGGCCAAGTCACACATTCTTTAGTCTGCATATCACTACTTGAAAGCCTTCGCTGCAAATGAGTCACTCATCTGGTTTCAAGACTGCTGGTTTTTGCTACACCACTGACACTGGCGCTCCTTGGGGCTCCTTTTGCATATCCTGTTATTGACCTGTGTCATGGAGATCCTGAAACTTTTTGGGTCTGTAGGGCTGGCCCTTTCACATGCTCCCACAAATCATAGAAGGGGTGGATGATGGGAGGGGCCAACTCATAGCCCTGGTTCTGGGCCTGAGTGATTGCTGGTTTGCTTAGCCTGCCAGATCTTTCTCATTCTGTGTGGCAGGGTCCTGTGCTGTTGTTCCCTTTAGGGGAGGGGGCCATGGAGGCAAAGAGTCAAACCACACAGACTCTGGGAGAATGTCCAAACAACAAGCTCAGTTTATTCAGGAAGAGGAAAGCTTTATATACCCTCCACCCCACCCTGGGGGAGGTCTGATGACTGTGCATCTGCTGGTGTGACATGGCTGTCTCTCATTGGTCCAGGTAATCTCCAGATCATGTCTCAGCTGTTATTGCTAAGACCATCAGGCAGACCCAGCTGGCTCTCAGAAAGTATCTTTTTTACTTGTTTGGGCTGTCTGGCCCTCAAGCCTGTTAGGGATGAGTCATCCCACATATCCACCCCTTTTTATTATTTTATAGGACATGCTCAGTGGGAGCTAGGGTGCATTGCCCGAACCTTGTTGACCCCACCTCAGGAGAGCTCCACATAATGGACAGTGCCTGTCTTAGATTGGCTTGCCAAACAAGCTTGTATCCATCATTGACTACCAGCCCTGGAAGAGCATCAATCCTGGAGAGCTGTCTGGGTGGTGGTGGGCTTTAGGCAGCAGCCTTCTGTATCTCAGTGACCCAGGCGTTTATTATCTCTCTAGGAGGACTTTGATCTAGGTGTCTGAGAGCCAATAAAACCTTAGGGTCACTTCTGTGGCTGCCTTCTGTTGGTGAAACTGTTGCAGAAGATATTTGAACAAGAGAAGGATTAGTTAAAAATTGAGTCTCAAGGACATGGATGGTACCCCTAGTCATATTTATATGAAATGTACCAATTGAAGTCTTTCTGGTAATGTATTATCAACCTTGTAGGGGGTGAGGCAATTGCTTGATATCTAGGGTCACATGCCAGTGATGATATGACATTTACTAATGCCACAGTAGCAGGGAAAATCATACATTATCCCTCTGAAGCTTCTTCTTTGTCCAAAGACTCTTGGTCTATTGCCAGATGCACATCTCTGGAGGGTATCCATATTGGTGTGATGGTATTCTGGGGAAAAATGCAAGCATACCCTCGCCCTGGGGTTAATAGGGGAGCAGAGTGTTGCCACTGAAGGGTGATGGGATCCTTCCAATGCATCAAGAGCAATGGTGTCTCCCGAGGCAAGTAAATAAGCATGTTGTTCAATTGGGGCTTGTATGACAGGGTTAACATATGGTCCTTGGCCTGTGAGCATCTCAAGAGAAAGAACAAAGTTTTACTGAATACTAAAACAAGCCTGAGCCTCAGCCTGGTCATCATAGGCAGCTTGCCAATTAAGAAAGACCATAGGCTCCAACACAACCTTCATCAAATGGTAACAGTCATAATAAGTCTGTAAATTTGTTGCCCATTGTCGTAGGACTTGCTCAAAATACGTCGAGTCAGGACCTGATTCATTAGCAGCCTTAGGGACCAAAGACACTTCTGCAAGAGGGGTAGGTATCCATGGCTGGTTGGCCACATCAGGGCCCACATTAACTGGAAACACCATGGTGGGCATGTGCGGCACCATAGGTGGAATAGGCTGGGAGGTATGGGAAGCAGCTGTCTCAGCAGGCAGACATCCAGGCAAATCACTCTGTGGATACTGCGGTGGTGTATGTGTGTAGGGGTGGGGGGTGGGGGTAAGCCACTTGAGGCATGGGGGAAGCAGAGAGAGGGGCTGCTGGTGTAGGCTTGGGTGTTGCCCCAAGCATTTCTTCTCTTTCCATCCCTTTCCTCTACTTTACGCCTGTTCTCATGCCTCTCCTTGCCAGCAGAGGCAGAAGAAATGTCAGTCATGGACAGAATGAAGGTGATAGATAAGTTTGTGTTACACTGTTTCTGGCAGTGCTTATTGGGGACCTTAAAGACCCCCTTAGTAGAGGACTTTAGGCCAGCGATCATAGCCAACAAAATGGGCATAAAAAGCAATTGGAGGGTTACTCCTGAGGCCACTTCCCTTTTTCTGGCAAGGAACAGAGCTCTTATCCAAAGATCAGGTTTCCACATGTTTTCTAGAGAAGCAGCATGCATTCTTAACTGCTGAGCCATCTCTCCAGGCATCACAACCCACAAGCACATGTATGCATTCACAAACATATACATAGATACACACACACACACAACACACAACACAACTAAAAATAGTCAGACTGTGGTTTTGTTTCCTGAGGGGTCCAGCCCTTATGTGGAAATGCTAGGTGAGCCTGAACAAAAGTATGTGCCACCCTACTGTACAGACAGACTCACAAACAAGACAAACAAAAAGAAGAAAGTGGGGGTCCCAGCATTTACCTGCTGGAGAAACTGAAATCACACAACATAGAGGGAACTACTCACCGAAATACACTGCTCAAGGAGCCTGCTCAACCAGTGCCTCACATGAGGAAAGGGAGACAAACAGACCCCGTTCAAGTACCAAATTTCCCAGGTTTTGGCACCAGATGTGGCAGGGTCCTATGCTATTGTCCCTTTGGGGGAGGGGGCCAAGTAGACGCAAAGTCAAACCACACAGACTCTGGGAGAATGTCCAAACAACAAGCTCAGTTTGTTCAGTTAGAGGCAAGCCTTGTATACCCTCCACCCCACCCTGGGGGAGGTCTGATAAAAATGCATCTGCTGGTGTGACATGGCTGCCTCTCATTGGTCCAGGTCATCGCCAGGTCATGTTTCAGCTGCTGTTACTAAGGCCCTTAGACAGACCCAGGTTGGCTCTCAGAAAGTATCTTTTTTAACTTGTTTGGGCAGGCTGGCCATGAAGCCTGTTAGGGATGAGTCATCCCACAATCCTGAACACCAGAGTGACCTCTCCAGCTCCACTCTGGCTAGCTCATCCTATGTAGTAGGCAGAAGTGGGCCAAGCCCGTTGTCGTCCATCTCATGTCTTCCGAGCTAGCTTCTCAATACCAGCACACCAGGGCCAGCTCTACTGTGTTTTCCAGTACAGGTGTAGGGACCACTCTTCCAAGTGCTGCAGCCAGGGAGGGGCAGGGCCAGCCCTTGTACTCTCATGATCCAGGGGACCAGCCCTCTCACCTGCCGCAGGCAGCAAGGGTTGAGGAGTAAGGGAAGACATCTCTTCTCTGCCCGCACTGCACTACGACAGGCTAGTACTGGGGCCATCTCTCCAACACTCATGCCCTCCGAGCTGGCTTACCCACACCCTCACCAAGAGGGGAGCTCTACTGTGTTGACAAGGCAAGGTGCAGGTCCTGCTCTCCTGAGTGCTGCAGCCAGAGAGAAATGTCAGGCCAGTGCACTGGTCCTCATGCCCTCAGGGCCAGCTGACCTGCTCCCCTGCCAACGGTCATCTCTGTCAGGATGCCCAGGTGAGGTGCAGGTCCTGCTCTCTCCAGTGCTGCAGCTGGGGGGTTTAGGACCAGTTCTCCTACTGCTGCGGCCAGTGAGGGGTGGAGCACACTCTGTGCAACCCTATCCTCTCTGCTTTGGTGGGAACAGGAACCCCAGACATGACCGTGGCTGCTGCTGGGCCATCAGCACAGATGTGGCCCTTGCAGGCAGCTCAGGCCTGGATATCACCATGGCCCTGGGTGGTAAGCAGGTCACTGACCTCTGCACCCTGCTTGCTGCCTTTACCTCTTTGAATCTGCCTGTATCCATACAACATGAACCATTCTCTCTCTATCGTTCATACCCCACCATATATTTGCTCTCCATAATAGAGCCTATCCACCCAGATCAGCTCCAAATCCCATCATGAGTCCTAATTTTCAGATGCTATAGGATTCTTCAGTTAAATTCCCCTCTTATATACTCTATAGCTTTTTCTCTGTGGTCACGGGGACTGGATGCACAGCCCCATGCATGCTCTCATACTTAGCTCTAGCTTCTTATTCCTTCATTTCAATACTCAAGTAAAATTTTTGTCCATTCATATATTTCATATCTTTTCTGCTATTTTCTTAATATACATACTTGATTTTTTTCCAAAGGATTTTTCTGCAACTGTGGAAATGATCCTGTGAATTTTTTTCTGTCTGTAAGCCCAAGACTAGGATTTATAACATCTATTAACTTAGGTATGATCAGCCATCCCTGCATCTCTGTAATTAAGCCATCTTGATCATTGTGGAGGATGTTCTTAATATGCACCTGTATTCAGTTTTCAAGTCTTTCATTGAGGATGTTGTGTGTGAGTAATCTAGGGATGTTGGTCTGTGATTTGGGGATTTTGCTGTGTCTATCCCAGTTTGGGTACGAGAGTAATACTGGTATAGACCAAGTTTGAGAATGCTCCTTATGGGTCTCTCTCTCTCTTTTTTAATAATTTGAGAATGATTGGCTGTAGATCTTTAAAAATCTGTTTAATTCTACTTTGACTCTATGTGCTTGTTTTATTGTATGTTTGTTTGTATGTATGTTCATTTTCTTTTGGTCCGAAGGATTATCATTACTATTTCAATCTTCCATTTATTATGGTTCTGTTTAGGCTGTTGATCTCTTCATGGTTTAACTTTGATGGTTTGCCTGAATCTAGAAAATGTAATTTTTTTTTTTTAGATTTTCCAACATCATGGAGTAGAGGTTTTTGAAGTATTCCCTTATATTACTTTGAATCACATAGTATACTCCTTTGTCCAATCAGCTGTACTAGCAAGTGTTGATTACAATGAACCATGGATCTGGTTCAAAGTCTCTGGTTTCTGGTACACCTTCATCACTGCAACCCCACTGAAACTCCTCTGGGATATCCTGCAGCAGCCCTCACTCATGGAAATCCTGCGGGTATCATTCCACAGGACCAGTCACTTCAGGAGCTCCAGCAGGTCCTAGAATGGGTAGATGTTAGGATGGATGAGCCCAAAACCCAGCTATGGGTCTGGTTGCCAGCTGAGCTGATTAGTCTGGATCACTGGGGCAATGGGACACTGGGGCCACCAGCCTCAGGTGGGAGGGAGGAGCCAGTCTCTTAGATAAGTGTTTTCAACTCTGAAGAGAAAGATATCCTGGCCATGAGAAAAAGGACTGTGCCTTTAAGTGTTAGAACTCTGAAGGGAGAGGCATCCTGGCTCTCTGAAGCCAGGCTGAGCCTATGACTCTGAAGGGAGAGGCAGCCTGGCTGTCAGAGCGAGGCTATACCTATGGTTGTGTTCTAGTGGGGATGGATTCCCCACAGGAATGTAGAAATCCTGCTCCTCTCTAAGAGAGCCATTAGAGCTCACTTCCACTCCACTCTGCTAAGAATTTCCCTGTAGAGATGCTCATTGCTCCTCTGCCCCAGAGAAAAGTGTTACTTCTCTGCTCCACCCTGCAAAAATGTAACAGTTTGCTCCTGCTCCAGAGAAAATATTACTTCTTGGCCCAGCTCCACTCCAGTGAAAGAAGGTCCTTACCCAAAACACATTAAAAAGCTTTATTGGGAGGGATAAATCCAGGAGAGAGGATGCCTCTGTCACCGTGAAAAAGGGCAGCTCCCAACTGAGCAGACACACAGCTTATACAGGGCTTCTTTTCCCCAGGATGAAGCTTTCAGGGTAGGAACTGGTCGGATTTCAATCCCTGTGTTTGGACAAGCTCAGAGATTGGCTGAATTTCCTGCTTAGGAATTGGTTGGTTTTCCTGCTTTGTTGGACTGGGTAGGGTATGTTTCTTTGGCTCTGGTTTCAGGGCCAGGGTGTGTTTCTTTCACTAGCACTGGTTTCAGGACCACAGAGTGTTTTCTTGGGCTCTGCTGTCAGAGTCAGGATATGCTTCTTTTCAGGGCTCAAGTGTGTTTCTTGCACTGTCTCTGATTTCAGGGTCAGGGTGTGTTTCTTTGGCTGGCCAAATAACCCTATACACTGTGCCCATACTGTTAGGGTCATTTCTACCCCAACCGTGGTGAGGGGTGGGGCCATCACTTCTAAATGTAAGGCCAGCTTTCCCATGAGGATTGGGACCAGCTCTCTTGCTCAGTGTCCAGCAAGGGGGCAGGACCAGTTTTCCCAGGCCCAGCCAAGGACAGAGTCAGCTCACCTTGGCCCTCTGATTCCATCATCTATGGTTCCTATGGCCCCCTGAGGTCACAAGGACACAGACATCAACACAGACTCCAGGTGCAGCAGGACGATGGACCCAGACATGATCCTCAGCAGTAGCTGGTTCTAGATGTCTCCATTGCCCCAGGTGTTAGGGCAGTCCACTCAGACTGGCATGGCCCCAGCAATGCCTGGTACTAAGTCACAAACAGGGCCCTAGAACTCAGGCTTCCACATTTTTGATGGTAACCAGGTGTCTTGAACATCAACGCAGACTCTGGCTGCAGTGGGGTCACAACCATGACATGGCCCTCAACTACAGCTTTGGCTGGGTTGTCACCATTACACTGGCAGCAGGACAGGCTACTCACATCTGCATGGAGCCAGCTGCAGCATGCATGGTCCTTGGGCACCAACATGGTTCCAGTTGGCTGATCAGACCCCAGGCAACCACACAGCCTTTGGTTGCAACAGGAACCACAAATATTGAATGAGGCCCTGGCTGCTGCAGGGCCACAGACACACACAAACCCTCAGCAGCAGTCCAGGCCCAGACAACACCAGGGCCCTGGGTGGCAGCAGAAGACACCCAGAGCACCATGGCTTCATGGTACCCAGGACCTCAGACACCAGAAATCAATTTGCATCTCTCTACTACAGTCTTTCTGACTCTCACTCTCTTACTCTCTTCACTCCTTTTCTCTTTCACGCTGTAACAAAACACTCCTCTTGGCTTCTCACACTCACACAGCAACAGAATACAGTCTGAGCTCAATTCCTCAAGGCAGAGCTGACTGTGAAACCCATCAACTTGTTTATTGTGTCATCTTTCTCTTCCTCTCTTAGGAACCCATACTCTGCACTATAACCTCATGGCCTTGTCTCTGGAGGGGACAAGGAAGTTTGAATTCAGGGCCCAGGGATACATTGACAATGAGCCCTTCCTGCGCTATGAAGGCTACAGGAGAAGAGCAGAGCTCTGGGGGCCTAGGATCAAGAGACAAGGAGGAGCTGAGATCTGGACAAGAGAGACTAAGGACATGCAGGAGAAGGAGGAGCAACTCAGGAGGATGCTGACTGAGGTCATGACCCAGAAGGGCCAGCATGGAGGTGAGTAGGCAGAGAATTCAACTCTGGCCTCTAAAGTCAGAGTTGGGGGCTGGACACAGCTGGGATGAATGATTAAACTAGTGATGCTTCTGTGAGAGATGGAGGACCTGACTCCTGAGAGGTCACAGGATGTAGACAATTCACCTTAAGACCAGAGGAAAATAAGGTCCTTAAAAAATAAAGTGACAAGTCTCTGCCTGGTATGGCCAGGCATTCACACCCTTCAGGCAACGTTTGGCTGTGAAACCCAAGGAAACAACACTGGAGGCTTCTGGCGCTTGGGCTATGATGGGCAAGACTTCCTCACCTTTGACCAGAAGAGCCAAACATGGAAAGTGTCCATGCCTTCAGCACTCTCAACCAAGACATTCTGGGAGAAGCATGGCCCCAGCACGGATCAAGTTCAGACTTTTTTAAATGACACATGTCCTGACCGTCTCCAGAGATACTCGATTTATTTGGGGAACCAATTGATGGATACAGGTACTGACTATGGGTGGGTGGGTCCATTCACTGAGTCTGACAGCGTCTTGCCACAGTGCTTATGAGGATTCTCACTAAATTAGACAAGCATCACATAGTCTAAGGTGACACTCAGATGGAGTGTGAGTCATCTCCAGAGCCACTGTTGTGCACCATAAGTGGGGCAGCTTAAGTATCTCTGACATGAGTGCATAGTTATAAGTCCCCAAATGTCAGTAATCTTAGATTTCACTCAATTGCCCCCACTTTCTGGGATGTTCACTTTGATGAACTGAGACAACTGGGTGTGTGGAGTCCTGTCCCTTAGGTGGGGTCATCATGATGGGGAGACTTCTGCACCTGGAGCTGGTTCACAACCTATTCTGTGTCATGGGTCAAAGTCATTCTGCTCTTGTTCTGGTCTTGATTAAGGAAGGTCAAGTTCAATGCTGCTTCTTCAATTTAATCTTGTGACAAAAACACAGAGCAGTCGGGGGCCTTTGGGTCCTTGTGCTCACTGATAAGCACCAGGGAACCAGGAGAATGATGAACACAAAGGGTTGTCTCTTCAAAGGGAGAGATGTTTTCCACCCAGAAATCTGGGAGCAGAGAGACATGGGTAAGAGCCTTCTGACCTTTGAGCAATCTGTATGGTCAGGGCACACAGGCTTCCCAAGACCCTTATCCTAATCTTGTTTGACTCATTCAATCTACAACACTATCCTCCTCCAGACCTTCATCATGAAATTGTTTATCTTGAGCCTGTTTCTTCAGTTAACCTATAGGATCTATTTTTATGGATGATGTCACCGGTACCTTACAAGACTTTTGATGTAGTCATGTCCTAAGCTTCATTGTGCACACAGGATTAAGTTAATTTTCACCAGGAATCTTTTTATACACTTAAAACAAACTACCAGGGATCAGACTCTCAAATTTTGAAATAATGCTGGCTACTGCTCAGTGTTTAACCAGACTTCCTTCTTGCCTATTGTGGATTGACACTCTCTGCTGGGCATCATGTTCACAGAGACTCCCACAATGAGTGTCCACAGAAACCAGTGTGGTGAGAGGGCAGTCAGGATGAAGAAACTACTTATCATCCAGGGATCTTCAAAGGGAAAAACTTAAAGCCTTAAGCAAACAATCAGGACCCTGGTCAGTTCCCTGTCCTAGAAAGGATGATCCCTCACTGTGCCTTAGAGCATGCAGAACAGGCTTTTTTTTCTTCTGGGGCATGAGGAGTTACTGTCCACTGAGATCAGGTGTCCAGTTCCTATAGACCAGGGAAGCTCTTTGTCCCATCACAAGCTGGATCAGCTGGCCTCTGACAGCAAGATTTTCATGTCTTCTCAAGTTTTTCAGGTAGGTTGGGGCTGACACCCATAGATTGTCAGGGGTAATGGAGCTGTGTGTGAATCTCATATACTCATCTGACCAAAGATGGCCTGTCTCCCAGGGAAAAGAGGCTGGAAAATATCCACAGGGTGACATTTTATAATAACTGGTTGTTTCTGCCCTCAGGTTCTTACCAGGAAAGGCCTTTGGGGTCTTCAGCCTCACTAAGCTCTGGTTTGTCTTTCAGTAGGTGTGCAGGAGATGACTGTGACCCATCACAGTTCTGCAGCGGGGAGGCACACTCTGACATATTTTGTTTCTAACCTGTGTCTTTGACATCCCCACCCCCCAAGTTGGGGCTTGGGGGATTGCTCAGTGGTAAGAGCACCAGTTGCTCTTGTGAAGGACCCAGAGCGAATTCCCAGTATCCATGAGGGGGCTTAATATCATTTGTAACTCCAATTCTAGGGGATCCAATACCATTGGCTGACTTTTGTAAGCACTAGGTTACACATGGTACATGTACATTCTTGCAAACAAAGCATTCATATACATAAAATAAAGTAGATAATTCTAAAATATTTAAAGGATCAAGTTTAATTTTTTATTTGGTTTTGTCTTTTTTAGAAAACAGAGTCTCATAATGCCACTCAACCCCATTCATCCACTACCTGCCTCTACCTTTCTAGTGTTATGATAATGGACCTGTCTGGAATCTCAAATGTCATGTTTAAAGTTTTGAGTAAATCTTGTAACAGAAAATAAGAGGTTGTGCTGGGATATTAGTGGAGGAAGAACTAAGATTGTTTGTTCCTGGAGTTGGCCAAAAACTCCAGGAACAAAGAATCATGGCCACAGTCAGCTGACTGTACTTAGAGAGTCCCTCACCTGTCCCCTAGAGACTGCTGAGCTGGCTTTGTCATAGAGAAAAGGCACAGCCCACCACGGTATGATCTGTGGCCCCTATAAACACTGAGCCCCTGTCCTCTCAGTGCCTGTTGTTCATCTATGACCTGTGTTGGAAAGAGGAACTGCTGGCCGGTGACAGCAGGGACACCCTGTCCTCTCATCATCAGCATGTAAATAAGGGATGGATCCTCAAGGGCATCAAGGAGCTGAGCCCCAGGTTCTCACAGTCCTATGACCATTGGGAGCTGTTTCATCTAAGGAGGGGAGGCTGGAAGCAAATATGAACAGGGTGGTTCTTCTGAGCAACACTCCATGCAGAGATAGAAAGGTCCTCACCTCACTGACTCACTTTATCTTCTCTCAGGTCCCCCGATGGTAACAGTGTCCAGAAGGCCATACCCAGTGGGCAGGATCACCCTGACATGCTGGGCTTTTAATCTGTATACTCCTGTGGCCACCTTGACCTGGCTTCAGGATGGGAGGCCAGTACAGCAGCATTCATTTGGGCCTGGGACCATCCTTCCCAGTGGAAATGGGACCTTCCAGACCTGGGTGTCTATTTGGGTTCTTCCTGGACAGGAACCACACTTCACCTGCCGCCTTAGGCACCGCAGCAAGAACATTGATGTCCCTACACTCCTTGGTGAGTAAATGGGGCAAGCATCACTCTAAGAGGGGAAGGGGGTAGGCAGAGTCGGGAAGCCCCTGTGGAATGCAATCACTATAACTTTTCTGGTCTCTCCAGGACCTCAAGCTGGGGAAAGTGGTGGAGCCACCAGCTCTGCTTCTGCTCGTGTGGCTTCTGCTTTTCTTTCCATGTTGGTATTTCTAGCCTGCGCCTAGAGCAGCAAGAACACACAGGACAGCAAGAGACCAGGTGAGCCTCCCTGCAGTGTGTGAAAGAGGGTGACAGGCCTTTTCTTCTCTTTGTAAATTGTACAGGTAGAAAGGTAGTCACATAAGTGACTTTTTGCTCCACTGGTGAATGGAAGGACCCAAGGACCAGCCATTAACCTATTAACCTCCCCCACTGTTGGGAGGCAGCGCCCCCTGGTGGATGTACAGTGCTGCTTCCCATGTGTTCTTAGATGCTCTTAGATTGGATCTTCAAAGATCTATTTGATTATTAATATGGACTTAAAGACACCACAGGGATTAAAATATCTTCAAAACACAGGGACAGGAAAGCAGGTAGGAAGCCCACAGCAAAGTCCAGATTGTGGCAAACCACAAGTGTTCCCGCCTCTTCACCAAATATGTAGAAATCAAACAGCCAAACAATACAGAGGGAGACCTGGTAGCCCAAAAGATGATTGAGAGGCAGGCAATTCACCAGAAGATGATGATGTCTATTGCAATTAGCATCTTGATTCATACATGGAAACCTCTCCTCAAAAGATATTCATGAATCATCTGGTTGAGGCAGTCTATGTATACATAAATACAGACATTTAAAGATTTTGAGGATATTTAAATCCCTGTGGTGTCTTTAAGTTTGTATTAATAATCAAATAGATCTTTGAAGATCCAATACAGGACTTCTGGTCTATCTTCTAGGTTGAACTACTCTCTTTCTACCTTCAGCCATGCCAGCCTAAAATGATCACAACAAAACCTGTTGAATGTTAATACTCCTTCACAATAAAAGGAAGTGAACAAGCCCTCCATAACAATTTTATTTTATAAATAGTGGGATATCTATGTACATTGTTTTGGTTTCAAAAATAAAAATATGATAAACATGTGATATGGTATTTAAATAGTAAAATGTTATAAAATGATACAAATTACTTAATGAATAAAGATTGTTGTATAAAGATTATATGGATATATGGTTATAGAATGAAAAACTAAAAGGTTTTTATAAGCTAAAAAAAGTGTGAGTAAGGCACTTAATGTAGTTAAGGATAAGACTTAAAAATAATATATATGATATTAGTTTCTAAGGTCTAAGATTAACAATTACAAAAAACTGGCTGTAAAGTATGTCCAACCAAGGTGGGGGTGGGGTTGAGAATCAGGTGGGGGTATTTTGGGGGGAGAGTACTTAAAGAACCAATGGGGAATGGGGTATTTCAGGGTCAAGTAGAAACCTGGTATGAAGGAAACTCCCAGGAATCAACAAGGATGACCCCAGCTAACACTCCTAGCAATAGTGGAATCCTACACTGAACTGGCAACTTCCTGTGACCAGACAAGACTTCTAGTGGAGGTGTCTGGACCCCAAGTGAGCTACATCACCTTAGACCTACACTGTGTTCTGACTATGGGATGTGCTGGGGTAAGGGTGACATAGAGATTGTGGGAGTGGCCAACCAATGACTGGTCCAGCCCCAGACCCGTGCCAAAGGAATGAGCACACCCCTGACACTGCCTGGAGTGCCAGGACCCAGAGGCTGGATGGCCCAGAGACCTAGGACAGAACCAAACATGACTGTAGAAAAAAAATCAAAGTACTGATGCCTAGTGATATTCTGCTATACTCATAGATCTAAGACTTCTAGATTCCTATCTAAATTGCCATGAAAGGATTATTTTCTATGTGTTACAGGGTGCAAAAGCCTCTCTGTATGAAATTGCATCACACTTTCCATATGGAACAGGACTGAATTTGCCAGGACTCCTCAGGAACTCTCAGCATCCACAGCATCCTAAACCTGCCCTAGCTGCCCTTGCTTCCAGCAGGAGACTTAGCTTCAGGATCTCCTCCACCTCTACTCATCTACATAACACCCAAAGTTTCCATGGAAGTCAGGTGGTTATGAGCAATAGAAAGGCTGAGTCTGGGCATTTTTAATTAATATAAGCCTACTGTGGGATGGTCTGTATGTCAAATTACTCTGATTGGTCAATAAATAAAACACTGATTGGCCAGTGGCAAGGCAGGAAGTATAGGCGGGACTAACAGAGAGGAGAAAAGAAAGAACAGGAAGGCGGAAGGTCACTGCCAGCTGCCACCATGACAAGCAGCGTGTGAAGATGCCGGTAAGCCACGAGCCACGTGGCAAGGTATAGATTTATGGAAATGGATTAATATAAGCTATAAGAACAGTTAGCAAGAAGCCTGCCACGGCCATACAGTTTATAAGCAATATGGTCTCTATGTTTACTTGGTTGGATCTGAGCGGCTGTGGGACTGGCGGGTAACAGATTTGTCCTGACTGTGGGCAAGGCAGGAAAACTCTAGCTACATAAGCCTCTGTGTGTTTACTTGGGTCTGAGCTGCTACAGAGCAAGCTGGACACAGAAAAACTTTCGGCTACAAATACTCCAGTAAAATTCTTTGTCCTTTCATATATTTCATATCTTTTCTGTTACTTTCTCATATACATACTTGATTTTTTCAAAGGATTTTTCTGCAAGTATGGAAATGATCCTGTGATTTTTTTTTGTAAGCCCATTACTAGGCTTTATATCATTTATTAACTTACATATGATAAGACATCCCTGAATCTCTGTAATAAAGTCTTTGGCATTTTAGTGGTTATAACTGCTCATTTAAATGAGTCAATCTTGCATCTTCAAAGTAAAAGCCAACTAACTTATCAACACAATGTTTGAAATCACACTAACATTCTAAAAACTTAAATTATGAATGTTAAAAGTAAGGCAAACAATTTTGAGAATTCTGTTAAAACTGGATAAAATATCTCTTGCACAGTGAAAATCTGTAGTCTAGTTTTTGATTTGATGCAAGAATTTGAAAACAGATTTAAAGATTTGGGGGGCAATAGTACTTTGGTATATTTGTGATTCCATTTCTGTTGACATCGACTTCAAGAAAGCTTTGCTCATAACTATTCAAGACTCATGGGTCTGATCTTTCAGATATAAACACACCTGTCTCACACCCACATCTCATTCACATCATTGCTTTAGGGCAGCACTGACCTGCCTGATAAATGTTGCATGAAGGAAGCACAGGAAGAGTGAAACCAGAACCCTGAGGAGCTCCCTGAGAATACCCAGAGTGCTGATGAATTCACTTCTCATATGAAGAGTCAAACCTCCCACTGGTTTGTGGTGCCCCCTTTCTTTTACTTCTCTAGCAAACTATCAAAACAACAAATCAAGTTATACAACTTAGATATGATTAAGTCTTGGGACCTGCTTGAGAGTTGTAACACACTCTCCCCATGGGACTGCCACATAGTTGGAATTACGTGGGTCTTTTTGACATACATTTTCATTCTTATCAGCTTCCTTTAGTGATTTTGGATTGAATGTATGGCCCAGATTGGTTCTTCCAGAAGCATCAGAAGGTTGAACACCCTGGCTTTAAAACTCTGTCACATTCCTTCAGCCTCCCCAGATTTTACTGTAACTCACAGAGAGACAAAGAGGAGGGAAGGTTCACTGTTAGTGTCAAAACTAAATTTTCACCACACACAATCATGATGGAGATGATAACATTGTTGTACCTGTGTCACAAACCCCCCAGAGACCACCAAGGAGCTGGGTTCTGATGGAAGCATATTAAGGTCTTTTTCTTGTCAGTTTCAAACCTGGACTGCCACCTCACAGATGGAGGAAAATGTAGTAGCAGTGGTGGGTTCAAGGGTAGGACAGTTTAAAGGGAAAAACTGCCAGCCAGGAATTATATGCCTTGGCATTTTGGGATTGGGTGAAGGAATATGGGGCAGTGTGAAATTTTGAAACAATTGGTCTAGACTTTTGGTGTGAAACCATATTTGAAACTAATTGGCTGCTTCTAAGGTATCAGATTGAGTTTTGTTGTCATGGTACATTCCTCAGGTTCTTCCTGGAACTGAGTACAGCCCCCAATAACCAGATGATCTAAGATGGTAGCTCTTCCCTAAAATGGCGTCTACAAAGTCAAGTCTAGGCCTTCATATTGCCTCCACATTCCTCCCTTCACAAGTGCCAATGACAGGAGTCAATCATGAATCCTACCTGTCCAGGGGTTCAAGGATGTTGGGACCTAAGAACCATTAGTTAACAGATTTTTCTAGGGCAGCAACATCTATATCTATTGCCATTCTTAAGGTCCTGTAGTTCTGATCTTTGAATACAACAATGTTATGATCTTATATAATACCTCTTTGGTTCTGCACAAAAAAAGTCAAGTGTCTTATTGCAGAACCATTTCAGTTAATAAATTTATCAATTTACAACTCTGAACCTATTTTTCTGGTATGTCAATGAGCATTATAGTTGGCCAACTTGCCCCTATGCTAGTAAGTTCCTTTTGACCTAGCTCTTCAACCTATTTTGGGCAAAGAACATGGGACATTGTATCCACTTCTGAAACTACTTCAAGCTGGCATTGGGACATTGTTGTCAGGGCCCCCAAAACACTGAAAGAGTAGTCAAAGGCTGGACAATGGGCTATTTGTCAGAAGCATGTGGCTATCTGACATATCTGTAGAGACAAGGAACAATCACATTGACTGGGTTGGTCCATGTCAGCTTTTAGCAAGTCCAGAGCTCATAGTCATCCAGAGCAGTGTAGTCAACAACTGAAGCTTGGAGATGTCTGCCAGTCAAGTGGGAACCTCTTGAGACAAATTTAAGCTAAGAACAGAAGTTAAAATTTATGAATTTATTTGGAATTTTTAGGCCTATATTTTTAGTAATTGGAAAGAGCAGGAGTCCCAAGACCAGGAGGGAGAAAAAAATACCATCCTTAGGAATAGACAAGTGGGGAAAATTTAAGCTGTACTTTTCTGGGGTCTTTCTGACCTCTGTGAAGTTGATCCAAGTTTTATGACTCTTTTAATCCTCTGAGACCTATATGAATTATATTACAAAATAACATAAAAGTTTTAGATACATTAGTATTACCAATATGCACTGAAATCCATATTGTAGACAAAGCAGGTGATGAGTATCTGTAAAACAGCAGAAGTAGATTCACACCGTTGAGTCCTAGCAAGAACTGCAGATTTGGGTAAAAAGCATGTGCACTTTCCTTCTGTCCAGAGAGCCAGGTATAAATTGGACAGAGTTTTTTGGCCCAGTGAATAGCACTTTTAAGTTTATATTTAGATGATAATCAAAATAAATCTAAAATATTGAGCTTGTGACTGAACAGTAAATAATCATTGCTTAACCAGCTTATCGGAACTCTATTAAATATCAAGCTCTGAACTGTTATATCATAGAAGGGGAAAGCAATACAAAACATTTTTCATAATCTAAATCATTTATTTATATATTTACAACTTGTATTTATATTTTAGATCATTTTCTGAGATTCTCAAAGCTTATAAGCTTTTATATCTTTAACCCTTTATGACCTATTTAAACTTTTATATCTTAGGACATTTTCTTTAAAATGAGCTAACAAGCTGGTTATAGCCTTGTGGAAGATTCTGGTTGTCTGATGCTGTTAAGCTGACAAAGTTATAGCTATCCTAGCTGACAGTACTATCAGAGATCTGGGAAGGATAAATTTGAGTGCAGATCAAGCAGTTTCTGATTCTATAAATGACAGGGACCAGTCCATATCCAGGTCTCCATAGTGTTGGAGGCACATGTATCAGAACAGCATTAATCTTCTTTGACCATCAGGCCCATAAGGCAGAGTTTATCCTGTGTAAGATGGACAAAAGGAAGACTGATCTTATTATGTCTAGGCAAATAGAGTGCAATCAGTTCTCCAGTGTCCTGCCTACTGCTTGTCCACAGTCTGGGCCACATCCTGGTGGTAGGTGTTGCATTAGGGCATGTTGCCCTGGTGTCAGCATTGCCATAAGCCAGGTGGAGACATTATGGTGTCCCATACATATTCCTTTGGAGACCTTGGGTTACTGCTAGGATCTGGGAGTCTGTCTGATATAATAAGCTTTTAGATCAACATTTTAAATACCATATTCTATAGATCTCTAAAGTATGAGGGCTGTCCAGGTATATCTGAATAGATAAACTTTGTTTCTAGTTACTTGTTTTAAGCTCAATGCTGAAAACATATGCAAGAGGCTGAGTAAAGGTTATCCCTGTAATTAATTATATCACTACTGAGCATGACTACAATTAAAGAACTTGCTTAATGATAAGGTGACTGACTATTTACTTATGTTCTCAAACAGTCTATAATAAGTAGCCTTAAAAATAATTTTGAATTGAGGTTCTTCTAGTATCAATAGGGGTTCAGTAAAGAAACCAAAACAAAATAACCATATGTTAATGGAAGGGTCCTAATTTTTTTTAGTATCAATATAAAACACTTATATGACTCAGTTTATCCAAATAGCTTAAGCTTAACAAAGTTATCAAAGACAAAGAGGCTAGATATATATTCTTTTTGGGGGGTGGGGTGCTGAGGATCGAACCCAGGGCCTTGTGCTTGCTAGGCAAGCGCTCTACCACTGAGCTAAATCCCAAACCCTAGACATATATTCTTAAGCCTGAATAGACTTTGAGTAAGGAGAAACATTCTCCAAGTCACTGGTTCTCAACTTGCCCAATATTTCATAACTGCAGTTTTGCCATTCTTATGAATCTCAATGCAAACATCTGACATACAGATAGTCCTAGGCTACCCCTGTGAAAAGGTTTTTCAACCCCTAATGGTGGTGACTCATGGAGTCAGAAGCTGTTCCAAGCCCTTTGCCTAGATCATTGTCTTGCTACATCACAAGTAATGAACATCACTGTTTCTATTGACCTAGGTGACTCTTAAATTACAAAGTTTAGCTGCCAGAGCAAGGTACATTCTTGTGAATAAAAGCGCTGAGGTGCAGCTTTAATATTTATTAAATACTTTATTTATTAAACACATATAGCCATCTATTTAGATTCTCTAGGAGCTTGCTGTTAGACACTTGGCATAAGTACTTACATGTAAATCTCTAAATTAGCTTTTGTCAACCTGAATAGATCTTTATAACCTTAGTAAAAGACATTTGCCAGCCATATGGCTGCCTACATCA